CTTGTCCTTTCTAGAACTAGAAGAAGTAGATCAAGGGGGTCTGAGGAGGACCAGAGCTGAGAATAGTGGATTTCAGTCACCGTTACACTGGTCATCTATGAGTCTCTGAGCAACTCAGTTCTCAGACTCACAGGTTCTGATACCAAATATAGAGTTCTAGGGTTCAGGAAGTTACGATTCCTTCCTGGCTCTAAAGTTTTTCAGTTATTGATATTTCATTACACCATAGACTAGTTTACCTCACCCCAGAACCTGATAATCTCTCTCTGTCAAGAGAGAGCCAGGGGTCATACCTCTGTGTTCAGGCCTTTCGTGTGCTGTGTGTTTTCCTGGAAGCTGCATATAGGATGCTCATTGATGAGGAGCCCACGGGCTGGAGCTGGCCATGGGGTGGTAAATATCTTGGAACAAGCAATGCTTTCAGGCTTCCAGCCTTGGCAGGAAGAGTATGAAAAGTAATTCTTGGGAAGCTGGGGCCTGGTGGCAGCTGCTTCTCCTCAGTCTGCCTGCCAACGCTGACTGGAGCTTGGGATGGACAGAGTTCTCAGCTGGGCCTACTGCAGCTGATGCTAGTAGTTTTCCACTCTGGAAGACTGGAAGAGTCTCTTGGCGTCTCTGTCAGGAGATTGGTGGGTAGCGGAAGCATCCGGAAACCACCAAGACAACTCAGCAAGCAAAATCTTTGCTGCAGTGACTCTTGCTTCCTGTGTGACAGGCTGCCCGCCCTCTTCGCAGGTTTCTTTGCATTTCCAGATACGGAGTGAACAGGGGAGTGGGGTCTGGTGAAAGAGGATTGGGAGAAAGAAAGGGGTCTGACGTCTGGGACTGGAGCTAATGTTGCAGGCTGAGTCTTCCCTAGTCATTAGGATCCCTTCCACGAGTTACCCAAAATAGGTACATTCAATAGGAAAACCACACTGGGGCTTCGGAGAAGTGCCACGTTGGGTTCCCCGGGCCAAGGCTGCTTCTGGTTCCAAAGACCCAGTGGGATGAGAAAGGCCATCCAAGATCCGCTCGTCCTTTTCCTCTGCCCTTCCTGTGGGCCCCTGGGAACACTGAGTCACGGAGAAACCCTGCTTACATGTTACGTTGCTACTTTACTGGCTTTTGTTTCTGGATTCCCTGTTTTCGACCTTATGTTCTTTGGTCCTGATTATCCCTAGCCCAACTCCCATTGTCTGAGGATGGCTGAAACATTAGTCACTCCTTATCAGTGGTTTTCATTTGCTTGGTTTTAGTTGTCTATAGTCAATCATAGTCTGGAAGCATTAGATGAACAAAGTCTGAACTAATTTGATTGGGACTTGCATGATAAAATCCTGACTCCTCTCCCTCCCTCACATCCAATGCCTGCAATTCCCCTCACTTTGTCTCCTTCTATAAGCACTGCATCATCTTGGGAAGAGTGAGTGTGGTTCAGTAAGATGGGAGAGAGGATGCAGAGATGGCTCAGAGGCTGTGCATCCTGAAGATCCAGGTTCAGATCCCAGCACCCACATAGCAAGCATGGCATCCCACAGCTGTCTGTAACTCTAGCTCAGAGGGATTAAACACCCCTTTCAGACCTCAGTGCATACAAGTACATGTACCAGACACGTGCACATAAACAAAACAAACGTATAACTTTTACCATGGAATATCATAATTGTTCTATTTTATTATTAATTATTTATCTCTTACTATGCTTAATTTCTAAGTTAAACTTTATTATAGGCACGCACACACACACACACACACACACACACACACACACACACCAGTATTATAGGGCTTTCGGCTCTTTCTGTCATCCATTGGAAAATATCATGCTCTAATAAATGAAAGTCTACTGTGACACTTGGGGCCCCCCACTTACTCTGGCATTGATCTGAGGTCCACATCGTGGCATAGAACAAGATTCCTGCATCGCTTAGGTCTGTAGTCACTGGAGTCTCATTAAACCAAATTCCAGAAAATCTTCCTCAGTGGATCTCGGTGACTAGTTACCCAGTAGCACTGACTAAGACCTGTGCTGTGACTTTTCTTCCTCTCCTACCCATAATGCAACCCCCTCTAATGAACTTTGACCCTGCCTGCTGAGATGCAGCTGGGCAAGCTTCTGCTTCACAAAAACTTGTTGGACCCCACAGATGGTGACTCACCTGGGAGATTAACCCTCTCCTGCACGCCAAGATCTAATGTGCAGGTCGTGGTCTCCATCCTTCTGTCCGGGCATTCATCCTTCCATCCATCTACGTGAATCTCCACCTTTTCGTACTTACCTGTTTGCCCAGTGTGCGTTGAACACTTAATCAGAGCTGTGTGTTGGCAGGCGTTGAAAGGGGCAAGGAATCCACCATGATCACTATGCTCAAAATGGCCTGCAGTCTCATAGGGGATCAAGAGGTGCAAGTGTCATAGAAAATCCATGATGAAAGTTATTTCTTAAAAGAAATCTGTTACTTTTACATCCTGACACGTATTTAAGTATTTTTGCTAGCTTTGTCAGCCTCGGTGAAACAGTAATAGCAACTGTCAAGTAGGCAAGCAACTTGTATCTCTTTGATTTCTGAAAACTATCATCTTACCTTTGTCCCCTGGATCAGAATGGAGGTCTATGAGAGAAATCATTTTCTGTGTCTTATTCACTACTGACCAGCTGTGTAAATACAAGAACACTCGTTAATAAGCACGTTTGTTAATTCAATACACGGATAGATAGATTGCCATAAAGTAAGCGATGATCAGACTTACAGGGGAGCCTTTTCTGTGTGTTGTCAGCAGGCAGGCACATCATGACTCAAGGTTTCCCTGGGTTGACTCTCCAGGGCTTTGTCTTTAAGCCTGGGAAGAACTCAGCAGACCTCTGACACCTCACAGCAGAGAATCCTATATGGTCTCTGCCTTTCCCCTCTGTCTGCTGTCAGACATACTTCAAATCTCTTTTACTTCATTTTCTTTATCTGTTCAATAGGGAAAAATTCTTGCATGGAGTCAATCAGGATATGACATAAAAAAAGGATTTCCAGGTAATACAGTCCTACTGAGTTGTGTTGTAGAGGCAATGGCAGCTTAAAATGTCTTGGTTATTGTCCCAAGGACTAGCAGGCCCCTCAGTGGGACGTTATTTATGATAACATCATGACTCACCTTGTTGGCTCTTCTTTCCCAGTGTCTGGCTTACCTCACATGTCCCAGAGCGCAGAGGTTCTCATTATGTGGACAGCCCAGCATCTGGAGATGTGTGATGGATGGGACTGAAAGCCTACTGGCTGGGGACGGTCTAGTCTGTGGCTGCCAGCAAAGCCCCACAGCATTGTTCTCTGTCCAGGATGGATGGGATCTGGGAGCAGAACTCTGAGCCCAAACCCACAACAGACTGACTCTGGATCTTTATCAACATGCAAGTCTCAGGTTGAGCTTCAGAGACACTAGAGTTAAGATCCAAGATCTTCAGATGTAGGTAGCACCATGCCACAGGCTGAGGGTCAATGGTACAGGAGAGGCAGAGGTGGAACTGATTGTTGCTCTCAGGTTGACTTGGCCTTTCCTGGGCAGGTGGCCTTTGCTGTCAGGTGTTGGAAACAGACTTGAAGTTCTTTGGGCTTTGCACACAAGGGGCTTCAGGGCCTTCAGCCTTCGATGGGAGCTGCATCGCTGGCTTCTTCTTCCAAGACTTTAATGTTCTCAGACTCAGACTTAGACTGAGCGGCCCCTAGCTCGCTTTTCTCTGCTGCCTGCAGATGGCCATTGAGGAACCATTCTGCATCTGATCCTGTAAGCCAGTCTAACAAACCCCTATGATTATGTTTTTTTTTAAATGTATAATGTAAGGGTCCAATTTCACTCTTGGGCATGTGGATGTCCACATTTCCCTGTATATTGGTGGACAAGACTATTCTCCCCCTTCCCCATGCTTTTTTTTGGGTACTTATGTTGAAGACAAGTTGCCCTTATATGTGTGAGATTATTTCTGGGTTCCCCATTCTGTCTCATTGGTCTACACATATATATTATTTTGAAAGCACTGGATGGTTTTAATTATTATAGATGTGTATTATATTTTGAAATCTAGACTCCCAATATCTCCAGGTGTGTTCTTCTTTTGTAAGAATGCTCTAGTTTTGGTGAGGCCATTTGTGGTTTCATATGAGTCTTATGATTCAAAAAAATATGTCTGGGAAAAATACTGTTGAAAATCAGTTCTTTCTTTTCCCTCCTCATAATGATTCCTTTCCCCCACTAGTCATTTTTTATTGCACAGAACACGGCGCTTCAAAGTATTCAAATTGTACTTGTTTTGTCTTTATAAGTCAGGAAGTTCCCACGATCCTGCCTGAGTCCTCACTCCCCTGCTGTAACTGGGCGTTGTTAGGACAATAACATATGAGGGGCTCTTCCTTGTTTCTTAACTCTCAGAAATGGTGGTCCTCTCGTCTGGTGCTCATTGTTTGACAGCTGGGTTGTTTCCCACAGGGAATTTCATATGTTCTATTTTAGTCTCTGTTTGTTGAAAGGGAAGCCCACCCCTGAAAGTCCTGTGTTTAGCCAGGACCCAGCTTGCTCAATGCTAACACAGGGCAATTGATTGGTTTGTTTCATAATCTCATATAACCAGCTCCCCAGAAAACCAGAGTGCTATGGAGCTTCGGGGTATCTGATGGCTACAAGGATACTACTACTTGTGGGAAATCGATTCAATATGCAAATTTGCTAATAAGGAACTGAAGATGGGCTACTGGGCTACTATTCAATAAAATAAGAAATTTGCACATTAAATTATAGTATGCTGGTTGTCAGAGTCTGGCTGTTGGTTAACTCTTGGAGGTCTAAAAGGTATTTGAGTTAGGGTTGGGAAGAAGTTCTGTAACATAGAATGGCTGAACTGGGGTCATAGAGAGACACAGGGAGATTTCAGTTCTTCCATTTTCTGTCCTGTTACTAGTTTCAACCTTCCTGGGGGTGCTGGCATAAAAATGAAAGCACACATTCTCTGTCTTCTCTTTGTTTTCTTCGTCCAGCCATATGTCGCTATCCTCTGGGGATGTCAGGAGGCCACATTCCAGATGAGGACATCACAGCGTCGAGTCAGTGGTCAGAATCCACGGCTGCCAGATATGGGAGGTGAGGACGGCTGCATCAGGAGGGCCCGAGTGCTGGGAGAAATGGACACACAGCCATGACTCCAGATGCTGGCGGGGAGGGATGGTGTTGGTGAGCGCTCGTGAGACTGGAAGAGAGATGTGAGGGGCTTGTGCTGCTTGGAATGTTTCAGAGGGAGGCCAGGCCTTGGCTGTAGTTACTGGCCTGGAAACCTCTTCCCAACCACAGAGGCCTCAGAGCCACACCACCCACTGTGAATGGGGTCATTGATAGACAGTGGATTTGCTGTTCCTGACCTCACTGTGGGCTGCTGCAGGAGGAAGGCCAAGGCTGAAGGTACGGGGAGGTGTAGGCTATGTAGGATGCTGGCAGTGAGTGAAGCCTGCTTTTCAAGAGGTACCGGGAATGCCACTGTGCAGAGCTTCTATGGTTAAACCAGATGCTGAGGTTTCCAGTAAGTTCTTTCCTCCCTCAAGGAAACCTCACACAGAAGGGCCATCCTCATCCATAAACAGAGCAAATTCTATGTGGTGGATGTAATTCCCAAGGTCCCTTAAATGAACAGACTCCCAACTCAGAAACTATTCTGCTGACTGATGTCTACTCTTCCTGCTAGAACCTAATTATTTTGGTGTAAATTTAGTACCGATTTCGTTAAAATGGAATCACCCGTAAGGAAATCAACCCCAGTAAGCCTTCCTCGTATTATTTATCTGAGTGTTTGAGTGACGTGATGGCTGGCGGAGTTAGGGAGAAGCCAGAAATGAGTGGGTAACATCTGTGAGGAAAGGAAGCATTCCAACGAAGAGGGAAAAGACGAAGAGGTTCCCAAATAAACCTTAGAGTGACTTTGCAATGCTCTTCAGTTCTAGCCCAGCCTGGGGGTAATAAATGAAACTAGGTTATTGGACACTCCCCTTACACGCTTTCCACCCTCACCCTTACCTTCAGCACAGTTCTCATGGGTGGGTGGCCATGCCAATCCTGCTGGCTGGCATTCCACTGCATTGCATAGCCCACACTGGAGACCCTACCATTCCTCCCTCCTCTCTCCCATAACTTGATATCCAAACCACGAATGGCCAGCTTTGGGGGTTGAGACTGAGAAATGGATGGTGAAAGAACTTCATAAAGAAACAGCAGTGGAAAGTGTTTCATTTCCCTAGAGTTCTCTAAAACCTAAAGGTTATATGTGTGTTGGAAGCCCCCAGCTCCCTTGGGGTGATGTTCCCTGGTGCTTCAGAGACAGGAAACTGACCACAAATGGGAATGGTTAGGACAATCAGACACAGGGAGGTCCAAAAAGTCCCTGCGGACTAGGCTGCTGCTTTCTGCTCTCTCCTTAGGCGCAGGACAGCTGCTTACTATGAGCTGGTGAGTGGCTTTTGTTTCACAGTTATTCTCTATTTCCCCTACCCTCCTTTCTCAAGGCTTGACTCTGAAGAAGGAGATGGAGCCTGGTGCCCTGAGATTCCAGTGCGACCCGATGATCTGAAAGAATTTCTGCAGATTGACCTACGTACCCTACACTTTATCACTCTTGTGGGGACCCAGGGACGCCATGCGGGGGGTCATGGCATTGAATTTGCACCCATGTACAAGATCAACTACAGTCGAGATGGCACTCGCTGGATCTCCTGGCGTAATCGGCATGGGAAGCAGGTAAGAGGAAAATGTCCATGTTCTGGGGGAATCTAGGACCATATGTTGACTTATAATAGAACTACTCAAATGGACTATATTCAGTTATGTGTATGTTCAATTCTGACATGCCATTGTAAATGTGACCCAAGGTGCAGGAGATGGCACAGAGGATCTATTAGCTCAGCTGGGAGAGTTTAGGGAATATACTCTGCTCATGAATGAAAAGCAAAGTCTCTATCAAATGCATGATGAGTGAAGAAAGGTGAGCATGATTTGATACTATCTCTGCTCTTTTTCTTTCCTCTCCTAGGTGCTAGATGGCAACAGCAACCCTTATGATGTTTTCCTGAAGGACTTGGAGCCACCCATTGTAGCCAGATTTGTTCGCCTCATCCCAGTCACTGACCACTCCATGAACGTGTGCATGAGGGTTGAGCTTTATGGTTGTGTCTGGCTAGGTAAGTCTCTACCACAGAGATCTTATGCACCATATGGAAACTTCCAAGGCCTGGGAACTGAACACTCAACTCAGGAAGGGATGAAGTCATTCACCCTTGGAATGAAATGATTCCTCTTTGGTTAAAAGAGAAAAATAAGCCATGCTCATCCACCCAGGGTTTGGTGCCCTGTGCCTGGAAGGACATATTCAGAGTCACTCAGGTAACTGTCATAGAGTGTGCTCCCAACAGTGTTCAACTATGAGCCCAAATTGAGCCCCAGTGAACATGATGCATAAGATTGTATACTGCTGCAAGTAGCTTCTTGCAGGTATTTGATCAGGCAGCAGGCACATCTCCTTACCAGAGACACTGACCACTCTATTTCCTTTGGCAGATGGCTTGGTGTCTTACAATGCTCCAGCTGGACAGCAGTTTGTACTCCCTGGAGGCTCCATCATTTATCTGAATGATTCTGTCTATGATGGAGCTGTTGGGTACAGGTAAAGTCTAGGAGATTTAAATAATCAACAGAATGGGGAAATGGCCATAACAAAAAAAATTATCATGATATGATCAAGAATCAACGAATCAGTCAACCCACCAGCATTATGCTCATGAGTGATACACTGTGAGGTAACTTAGATGAGGCAAACCATATGGTACTTATCTCCAATTTGTAGCTTACTTTTGGAAGACAATAATAATTCAGTAGACAGGAAGAAACTATGCAAAGCAAGAGCTAAACTTTGTGATATGGCTGTAAGTGTGGGAGTTATATTTTTGACCCTGAAATGAGGATCTTTGTTCCAACATAACAGCTAACTTAGCTATAGAGACAAAGTACGAAGTATAAAAATCGGTCGGGTCAGAGTTAAGAAACAATGGACTCCATAAATACGATACTTTAGAAGCTGTATAAAGGAAAACTTTTAGGGTTTACAATGCATAAGAAAAGCTTTCAGGATGAGCTGGTAATGGAAGTAGGGAAAGGTGGGTAGAAGGGCGAGGAAGAAACAGTAGAGGACAATATCGCTCTGTTTATGGCAGTAGATGGAGCTGGGAGCAGCAGGGAGGCCTGAAGCAGATGGATGGAGAAGTCTGGTAGAAAAATATTATTAGACACATTGGGGTTTAGAATTGGGTAAGACATGTGCCTACCCATTCCAATCATCAAATTCTTCTTCTGGCCCAGTTTTAACACCTTTTTTCTCAGTTCAGTCTTTTTTTTTTTTTTTAGTTATTCATTCCTTATTTTATTCAAAGTACTTTCATGTCTTGGCAGTTTCTATGACATAGGTGTTTCAAACAGCTATGAACATTTCCAGTACCATATCCTCATTGTATGCTTATGCCTTTTTATGAAAGAGAAGTTACAGGTTTTCAGCAAAATAAACAGAATGGCAGATGAGCGTTTCCATACTCAGTTCAGTCTTTATCTGCAAGGACCGAGCATGGGAAAGAGGTCAGAATATTGTGCAGTTCAGAGCAGACAATAGAAGTTTCTAGGGATTAAGAAAAGAGAAATGCTCGTGAGACTCAGGAAGCCTATTACAGGATGACTGCCCTTCTACTAGCTTAGGTGTGGAGACTAAGCTCTCACTCTCAGCTGCCAGCTGGCTTATTAATTTATACGAAAAAACTTCTGTTACCATTGTGTCCTTGCCTATGCTCATCAGCTGAATATGGTGTCTTGAGGCATTTAAATTAATTCATCAATGAGAGAATTAATGAACAGCACGAAGACCACAACGAATCGCATTTGCCCCATCAGTGACTAATGCTTATCTGAAGCATTACCAACCCTTCTTGGACTACACAATTCAGAGAAAGAAGTCACTGGTGTAAAATGATTGCTTTCTCCTAATCCCTCCATCTCTAAGATTATCATCTCTTGCCAAACCCAGAGGTGAAGCAGTGGGGTGAAAACTTCTTCTGTGGATGTGAGAATAACTCCAGGCTCCTCTCTTCTCTCCCCCTCCCTTGGTCTGATTCCTCCACGGCAGCATGACTGAAGGACTAGGCCAGTTAACCGATGGGGTATCTGGCCTGGATGATTTTACCCAGACCCATGAATACCATGTGTGGCCCGGCTATGACTATGTGGGTTGGCGGAATGAGAGTGCTACCAATGGCTACATCGAGATCATGTTTGAATTTGACCGAATCAGGAATTTTACTACTATGAAGGTCAGTGGAGTTAGGTGTGATAGATTTTCTTAAATCCAAAATTATGCTGAGTGTATGGGGTGGGGGGAGTAAGGGGATGTTTGATGAGTCTTGAATAATTGATGTCAACAGAATTAGATTTTAAAATATATTCCACTATTTCAAGTATACACGAATTCAGAGTCACATTATTATTTTTGTTTAATAACATAGTTCTTTATTGATTCTTTGGGAATTTCACAGCATGCACCCTGATCCCTCTCACCTCCTAGTCCCTCCCTCCATGTCCGCCCCTCACACCTGCAGCATCCCCTCAAGAGAAACCCCCAAATTAATTAAAAACAAAACAAACAATAAACCCCACCTCATTCCTCTGTCCTTCCCGCCTCTCCAACACCTCTTCATCTGTCCCAGTGGTGTTGGAAGCTGCAGTGTGTCACACAGTATACCCTTTGGTCCAATATGCCCCTCTTGCAAATGTTCATTACAACGAGTCATTGGTCTGGTTCAAGGCCTCTAGCCCTCTGGCACACTATCATCATTGGACCCTCCCCAAAACTCCTTAGACATCCTGCTGTTGTCCCCGATTCATGGAGATCCTGCAGCTATAGTTCCTCAGGTCACATGCTCCAGTAGGTCATAGATGGGGTAAACGTTAGGGTGGGCTAACAGGCCGTGGGTGGTAGCTGAGCTGGTCAGTCTAGGTCACTGAGACAGCCCCCCTTCAGGTGAAGGGTGGACTCAGCTCTCCCACACCCATGGGGAGGGTAGGATCATCTCTCTTGAGTGTTTGTTTTGGGGTAGCTCTTCCATGGGGGGTGGAGCCAGCTCTCCTGCTGCAATGTCCAGAGAGGGGTAGGGCCAGCTATCCCAGGGCTAGTGAAGGGCAGGGGCCAGCTCAGCACGGCCCTCGGATTTCAACACGCATGGTTCCTATGGCACCTTTTGGTAACACCCACCCCACCATGGATATCAACCAGACCCCAGCCACAGCAGGACCACCAACCCAGACATTGCCCTGGGCAGCAGCCTGGGCCCAGATGACACCATGGCCCTGGGTGGCAGTGCAGGCCACTCGGATTGGCATGGCCCCAGCAGCAGCACAACCCTCGGACGCCAACATGGCCACCGACAGTGGCCCAGACCAAGCATCCTTGTGGCCTTTGGTGGCAACATGGCTCATGGATGACAATACAGACCCCAGCCGTGGTAGGACCGTGGACCCAGACATAGCCTTTGGCAGCAGCCCTGGCTGGACGTCACCCTGACCCCAGGTGGCAAGCAGGCCACCCACATCTGTCTGCTCCTCATTCATCTTTGCCTCTTCAGTTCTGCCTCTTTCCACAGCACAGGAACCATTCTGCTTCTCTTTCTGTTTCTCCACCATGTATTTGCTCATCATAATAGCACACACCTGCCCTATGCCTTGTGGCACCAGGTGGGCCTGTGGAGGTCTTCAGCCAGCCAGGACTGCGAGGACCCAGGCTGGCCTGAGGGTGTCTTTCACCTGCCTGGCCTGAGTGGTCGAGTTACATTTATTTTTAAAGGTTGTTTCCTCATTTCTTAGTTCTGTGATAGGGTATGTCAGGCCATTATTATTTATTTACTCGCTCCTTTTCTCCCTTCCTCCCTTCCTAATACCAAACATTGCCATCCAATTAAGCTTAACAGTTTTTTCGCCAGTGCCTTATTACTGAAGAGTTAAGTGGAAAGGGGTGACTATTGTTGAGTGGTTGGATGGAAGCCAAAGGCTTGGAAAAGGCTGCCCTAGAGGCTGTCATGGAATGGACCATAGCAAATACGAATACATGAGGAGATCCGCAGAAGGAAACGTAAGGCCTAGATTTCACTTTCTCTGAAGTAAGACCCCGCCAGGGAGCCAAATCTTGATGCTGCCATTGATAATGTCTTTGTTATAACATAAAGAATTTCCTGGTATGTAGTTTAAATCATTATCCTCCTTTTCCCTCGTTCCCTCGTTCCAGGTCTGTTTTAGGGAAAGGGGAATGGAAAAGAAGAAAAGTTCATGCAAAAAGCAACCAGATTGGATGTTAAATCTGAATTCTAAGGTTAGGGAGACGTAGGACCCAGGGGTGTGGAGGCAAGACCTTGTGTTTAGTGTAAGATGAGACTGCAGGGTCTTACATGGTTTGTCCATAACTCTTAATCGTCTATGAAAGTGCAAAAGAAAATCTCACTAAAAGCCTCAGGAAAAGGTGGGCAAATAAATTTGGCCTACCACGTGAATATTCACTTATCTGATCTTTTTCCATGTGAATATTCATGTGCATAGTATTAATAGTCAGCAAACTTGGTAGCCCTTACTCCATACTCAGTCTTCAGTCTATATCTGTTTCTGCAGTTCAGTGAAAAATACATTAGTTATCTTATATAATTAAAATTCATCTGTTCATCGGTGCTTGCTGTTGGTTTCACAACTATATTTGGAAGCATAGTATGCTAGATTCTGAGTAAAGAATATTCCCTATCTTGGGACACATTGGTGCTAAGGTTAGCAGGAAAGGCAATATTAACTTGCAAAAGAATGTATGCAGGATAATATGGGACCCGAAGACGGAAATACGCATCATCAGTCATCGTTCAGGGTTCCTCTTAATGCAAATTTGTTATTCCTTATATAAACTAGGTTTAAAAATACATGTCTTCTCTATTACTCCCAGATATTAATGGATGATATCTCTTAACTGGATTAACAGTTATTCATTAAATGAACAAAACTTTTAAGACGAAGAGAAGGAACAACACATGCCCACTCTGTTGGCTTGTTGTTGGAGGATCTTTCGTAATTGTAAAACATTGTGTGCAATTACGTGTAACACATTATTCTTCAGAGATTTTTGTAGATGGGAAGTAGGGAGGGGCAAAAGAAGGGAATATGCATAGGGACAAAAATGTGCTGTAAGAGATTTTTTTTTGTATTCGTCTTTAATGTACTTGTGAACATACACATAAACTCACAAGTCTATATACCCCAGTGAGGATTTGTAGTTTAACAAATAAATGAATTTTAAATTATCCATGGGGTTATAATATTTTATCAGGATATTTTGATTGTCCTAAATTTCCAGGATTCTTTTCAGTTAATTTATCACAGATAAAAATGATTCCAGAGCTTAAATTAAGAAGCCAGAAATTTCTAAGGAGTAGCTTCAGGACAGTCTTCTTAGGCAAACAGATCCACCACATGTTTTAATTTTTCTGGACAAAGAAAGTAAAAGATGACTTCCAGGGCACTAATACCTTTTATAGATCAGGTTTCTTTCTGAGGCAAATTATTCTTCATTTCTTGCTTTGAAGAATAGTTAAAATATACCATTAAAGCTTATTCATGCATTCAAAGAATATTGTTTCAATAAATAAATATGTAAGCCCACATGGAATGAAATCCTATGCTATTTATTTGCATTCCAGAAGAATTCTTGAAACATCTGTAGGAAAGATTATTACCTTCCCTGCAGGGTACTTACCCAACACTTTGCAGATTTTAGGACATCTGAAAAACCTATTGAAGCTGGAGAAGGTATTTCTTTGATTAATTTTTTTGCCCTTAGCCTTACTCCATTGACTTGGGGGTCAATAAACTAGAATGGTTATGTCACTCAAGGAAGATATTAACATATGTGTTTGTCAATAAAACCTGTGGAGAAAAAAATCCAAATGGAAAGTTAAGGTGACTGCTATATTTCTATGTGATATGATGTACAAAGGGCCTTGGGATAGATGTCTAGGGCTCTATATCCAACTGTGTTGTAGACTGACCATAGGTCAGAAAACCATGTGAGTATGTGCATCTTATCAGTACATATACTTGGGCTAGGAGGCTTTTACACCCTCTAGTAGCTCTCATGATCTAACCTTAGGATACCTCTGGTCCAGCCATTTGTCATTACTTTTCTTTCATCATTTCCTTCTTTATCTAAAAATGAATTTAGCCTGCTAGTCCTGCATTGACTATCTAGAAAGAATTAAAGAAGTTAAACAGTATAACTCAGAGCTTGAGCAGACATTAAAACAGAAACAGGAAATAGAGTCCAAGAATGGCAGTCATATCTTTCCAACCCTTGAAACTCTTGAGGGACAATGGCCAGCAAAGATCTGTTTTCCATGAAAGACTGAGTCAGAGGAGATAGAACCAAATTGCTGTAAGGAACCTGAGTCAGTTGCAAATATACACGTTACTTTTTTTTTGTGGGTTGTTGAAGGACTGTTGTGGAATTTTTGCTCTTGATGACTTCACAAGCCAAACAAATATCCCACAGAAAGAGTTGTGGGTCAGGAGAATGGATGTCAGCTACCTTCTAATTGACTTTTTGTCTCATCTCAGAAATTATCAATGAGAAAAATTTGATTCTCCCATCTGAATGGTTTTACTTAAACTGAATTTGCTTAAGTCTGTGTTTCTGGCTGGAAATGCCAATCCATGGCATTCGAAGTAAGATTTCCATAAAGAAAGATGAAACTGTGTTTGTTTGTATATGATCTTCTTTTGAGTTTCCCACAGAGCCTTCCTGAAAAGAAATGGTCTGGCTTTGGAAGGTATCTGGGAGGAAGTAGGATATCAGGTTGGCTCACCATCTCAGATCAGAATAGCTCAAATGTGGGCAGATAGCAAGTGTGATTGAGAAGACTGTAGGGCCAAGAGAATTCCTGTGGAGGACAGACCTAGGAAGATGCTGATCTAGTCCTCCCTCATCAGGAGAGGATACTGTAGCCTGGCACCATGGAACTAGGTGGCCAGAGCACACAGCAAATTGGAAATGGGGTCAGCATCCAAGGTTTTATACGGAATGACCTGGGTCATTGCTACTATCCAGAAGACTGAATTATGGGTAGTATGCAGAGAAATAGGCATACTATATAGGAAGAGGTTTCCTGGGCTAGTTGGGCTGTTTTCCTGTGCAACCCAGCAGGGCTACCCTCTCTCACACATAGCCCTCTCTCTGCCAGGTCCACTGCAACAATATGTTTGCTAAAGGTGTGAAGATCTTTAAGGAGGTCCAGTGCTACTTCCGCTCTGAAGCCAGTGAGTGGGAACCCACTGCCGTCTCCTTTCCCCTGGTCCTGGATGATGTGAACCCCAGTGCTCGGTTTGTCACAGTGCCCCTCCACCACCGAATGGCTAGTGCCATCAAATGCCAGTACCATTTTGCTGACACATGGATGATGTTCAGCGAGATCACTTTCCAGTCAGGTAGGAAACCTTGGTCCCCACAGGGAAGAGAGTGGGTTGGTACAGGGGGTGGGAAGGGCATGCAGGCTGCTTCCTGGTAGGTCTCTGAGAGGAGTGGGGTTACCAGGTGCCTCATAGTCTTTGGAAAGAGAGAATCCTTTGTGTTTCTAGTTTCAATTTATGTAATTATAAGGAGCGAGGGTGGGACAATACAAACTTAATTACACTCCTTTTACACATTTGTCTAGAAGAGGTTTATGGCAAGAGATTTTCAAAATGATAATTCAATGTGCCAAAAGCTATACAAATTAAGACTATTGATGGAAAGCATGTAAGCACTATCAAAGTATTCAAATAAAAATCTCTAACCATTATGTACAAAAGTAAAGAGAACAATGGACTTCCTTCCATCACTCACCTTTATTACTAGTCTTTTTCCATCTTTATTTATTCCTTTTTTTGATGTAGTATGTGAAAGCAAATCTGAAACATATTTTGGTTTATTACTAGCATTTTAGAATACATCTAAGAAAATATTTTCTTGAGTATAATGTCGCTATAACAACTCATGACATTTATCAGTAAATTCTAAAAATGACTGTATATCCTAGAGCAAATAGTAGAGTTCATAGAAACCCTAACTATATTAAACCTTGAAAAGTTAAAAGGAATTTGTGATCTTGTCATTCAGTTTTAGTTTGGAAAACAGAAATCTATACAATGGTTTTTCAGAAGTAATCCAAAACCAAGTATAAGCAATCTGGAAGAGAGGCACACAAAAACATGTCATGAATAGTGCTAAAGGTATGAGAATTACATCAGGCCCAGAAAACAAGCAAAGGCATAAAGTAAGATGCTAGAGAAGGAGAGAGTAACTTAGCCATGCTTTAGAAGGTAATATCCTTTCTGGTTGATTTTTCTGTAAAGAAGAAAATTTCAAGATGGTTCATTAGGCTATTAGGAGAAGAGTATATATATATATATATATATATATATATATATATATATATCAGGTTTGGTGCCTATATTTTGTTTATGCCAATGGTGTAATTTAAAAGCCAACAGACTAATTATTTCATATAATTTATTCAGAGCAGAAATTTACATGCTCAAAAGAAGTGGTGCTTATATTGTAATAATAATTGGGGCGGGGGAACAAATAGATACCCACTGGACTTGGGAGTAATCTGGATAAGCACACAGATGTCCACCTATCCTTGGGTATTTGGGGCAGAGCAGTTGATATATTTTTCTTATTTTGGCCAAGCAAAGCTTGGACTATGCTTTTGATTCCTGGGAGTCTCTTGAGCTTCAAATCCTATGTCTTGATAATGTTAGTTTTTCTAGATTCTTAAGGATCTAATTTAACAAGTATAGTTGACACCAGAAGCTCTTTATTTGTTTAATAATGGTAAGAAGAAAAATTAGGATTTGTTGAAGGAATAACTTATAGAAGAAAAATTCAAATTTTAATTCTTGACCAATCAGAGGTAAAAATTAGTTGCCAACATCAATCTGGAAAACACACTTTGGGATCTGTTTTTGAAAACTGCAGCATCACAGTAAAGGATATTTCAAAGCCAGTTTTCTATCTTTAGGGATGAGTGAAGCCTTAAGTTAAGAGCTAGGGCAATGAAGCACAGTGAAAATCCCTTTAGAAAATAACTTAAATTCATTGAAGAAACAAGTGTCTTTATACTAGGTCTATTCCTTGCCCATGTAGCTACTGAATTCTCTCTGCATATTGTTGAATTTAGATCCTTCTCTCCATGCATATTTTATGATGATCTATGACCGCAGCCCTCTGAAACAGCATGTGTTAACTTTTTAATACTGTGACAAAATATAATATTTGCAACATTTTTTGCACCAGAGAAATTGCCTTTACTTGTACAGATAGTTATATTTTATTGACTCTATTTATGGTTTCATTTTTATTTTGTTTTTATTTGACATGATAATTTTTTGAGTTTATGGGCTACAGTGTGATGAGCTAATACATGTATAATAACCCAGGTATCTTCATTAGAAAAAATGCTATTGGTAACCCACTATATTGATTTTACAGTGTTCTAGGTCTCAGATTACCTTCAAATAAACCACTGCCTGCCTGGCTGTCCGCTCCAAGCTCTAATTCACTCTTGTTCTGTAACAGATGCTGCGATGTATAACAACTCTGGAGCCCTGCCCACCTCTCCTATGGCACCCACAACCTATGGTATGTATGACTATTATTTGTGAAATATTAAGTGGCAGACACCTCCTGGAAGATAAGGAAGGGTAGAAATTGCAAAGACCTCCTTGTGTGTGAGTGGCTTGATTACATGTGGCTCTGGATGAAGATTAGTGTGCTAAAGGAAGAACAGTCTACCCCCAAAAGTGAAGGATCCAAAGTTACTGTCATTTGTGACCATTCAGGAGTTTCTGAATGAGAGGGCCAGAATCTAGAGTGTTCCAACTGCTGCATGAAAGTTTAAGAAGCGTGGAAAAAAAAATAAGGGGACATTTCTACGCGAGACCTATAGTAGGGACCTCAATGAATGAGGGGTTCGTGAAACAAACTGCTTTTCCATCTCTCTGGAGATGAGTATGCAAAGGCGTGTTCTCTGTTTGAGGAAGTCGCTGGCTCTCATAGCCAGCAATCTGGAGATAACTGATTGGGTATCTCTTGAAAGGAGTCTCAGCTACCCCTGGCTGTCTCAAAGAATGAAGGGAGTGGAACTCATTCCTTACCTATTTGTCATGAGTATTAAGATCCTAAACATACAGACTGTTGCAAAATAGAGGCAAAAACGTGGGAATGCAAAACTCTTCACTCTCTTGTCTGAGACATGAAGAGAGGGAGGGAGGTGGTGACTCATGGTGGAGGTCTATAGAAAATAGGAGCCAAGTAATAAAGCGAGATAAGCCAAAAGCAGAAATATGAGGGTGACACCTTCTGGAATTCTCCTGAAGGAACAGGGTCTATCTCCATGCTCTGTTCCTGTCATGGCTGCTTTTAACTTGCCCTGTGAAATGACTCTTTCCTCTGCCTTCTCTTCTTGATCACAGATCCCATGCTTAAAGTTGATGATAGCAACACTCGGATCCTGATTGGCTGCTTGGTTGCCATCATCTTCATCCTGCTGGCTATCATCGTCATCATCCTGTGGAGGCAGTTCTGGCAGAAGATGCTAGAAAAGGTGAGGATGTGCAGAATGGGCAGGAAGCTGTGCCTCCCTTTCCTACACTGCCATGACACCAAAAGTGCCAGATTCCAAAGTTTTAAGAGGCTAATGAGTTGCCTGAGGCTACCGAGAAGCATGGGCATGGAGAAGGCTGTTGAAGTGAGCCAGAAAATAATTAGCTAAGTCTAGTTTCTCATTTTCAGAATGAAGAATTTAGAATCTGCCTAGAAATCCCAGGAAACCCTTCCTAATACATTAAATCTCAACTTGGGCATTTCCCATGAAGAATCTGGTTTGCTGGGTTTGAGGTAGGGTGAAGGCACCTGTGTGTGTATTTTGAGTTTGGCAATGATTCTGACAGACAGCCGAGGTTAGGGATCACTCTCGGTCCTGCTAAACTTTCTGATGATGGTTCTAAAGACTTTTCTCTTCTTCGTGTGTTTGTCTTTTTGTTTTTTGGGGTCCGATTACTTACTTTTCCTGTTGCTGTGACCGAATAGATGACAGAAAGCAGCATAGGGACCGCTTTGCTTTATATCACCATTTAAGAGGGGGACAGTCATGACGGTGAAGGAAGCCACCGGTTACATTGTGTCCACAAGTCAAAAACAGAGATGAATGCTGGTGCTCAGCTTGCTGTCTCCTTTTTATTCCCTCTGGGATCCCAGTCTGGGAAGGCGCTGCCTACATTCAGGGTTGGTCTTCCCTGCTCAGCTTGCCCTTTCTCCAAACACCTGCTTACATATGCATAATTATGCTTCCATGGTGACTTAAAGTCCATCAAGTTGACAATGAAGCTTAAACATCTCTCTCTCTCTCTCTCTCTCTCTCTCTCTCTCTCTCTCTCTCTCTCTCTTCCTCTCTCTTTCTGTGTGTGTGTAAAAACATTAACAACCAAGTATTGATCACTATCTGAATCCTATTTCTTTATGTACTTGAAGGTTATGCTTGTACATCCCTGAATTCCTCAAATTATTGACTCAAATGGCATGCATAATTTTGGTCACATATATCTAATATTTTAATATAGAAAGGCTTATTTCTCACGTATGTTTTTTGTTTTGTTTTTGAGACAGTCTCCCTGTGTAGGCCTGGCTAGCCTGGTATTGTAGACCAGGTTGGCCTAGAACATGGGGTGATCCTCTTGCCATCCAACCCCCCCACCTGGCGTCACAACAGGCATGCACTGCCATATCCAGCTCACGCATGTTACTTTATAAGAAACCGAGTAATACTCAGATGGACTTTAGCTTGTTGTGATGAGATAATACATACTCAGGGGACGACCTGCTCTCTATCCTCTGTTTTCTTTTGTTTTGTTTTTTAATTGTTCAAAATTGATACACTTAACCAAAGATGAGAATCTATAATTTTTCTTGGCTTCTTAATAAGGAAAAAAAAAAAAAAACCTCAGTGGACACTGCTGCTAAGATAGACCTTTGGATCTATTGAAATGTTTCTGGCTTTGGCTTTTCTGGTCCCTGAGCTCCCATCAATGGATATGGGTCATAGGATCTCTAGGCTGTGAATCTCCGCAGAGGCTAGAAGGAAGACACTGACTTCAGAGACCAAGGCTTGTACCAGAAGGGAGGCAGGACACTATGAGACTGGTCTTGAATCTCTGGAACTCTTTATATGTAGGACAGGAAAGAAAGGGCTCACTTAAGATGTGAGAGGAGCAACCTAGCAAATCACCTGTGGTCCTTTCTGACCTGCTCCACACTCAGGCTCCCAAGTTAGTTGAGGCTTAGTTTAAGGTTTGGGGGGCAGGAATATTTCATAGGAGAGAAAATCTCTTTGCATCTCACAAAGACCTTACCATCAGACAAAAAACACAAAACAAAGCCTTCAACCCATTAACAGAATCTCCAGTTGAAAGGCAGACTACTCAATGACGTAGATATGTTTGAAGGAGCCTGTGGGATGATACTAAGCGGTTTCCTCTTTCTGAAGGCTGAAATGCACTCATCTCTCAGTGGGTAACTCCAACTTGAAGGTAGCAAAGGGGAGTTGGTGGTGGATGAAACTGGTTGACTAGTTCCATTAGGCTGCTTGAAGCTAACATATATTCTTTTTTTTTTTTTTAAGTTTCTCAAGACAGGGTTTCTCTATGTACCCGCCATGGGTGTCCTGGAACTCACTTTGTAGACCAGTCTGGCCTTGAACTCACGGAGATCTGCCTGCCTCTACCTCCAGAGTGCTGGGATTAAAGACGTGTGCTACCACGCCCATCATATATTCTTTTTAAAATATATTTTTATTTGTTCTTTGGGAATTTCATACAATGTGTTTTGATCATATCTATCCCTACTCCTCCCAGATCTCCTTGTCACCTTCCTACTCCTTCCAACTTCTTATCCTTCCTCTCCTTCTCCTTTATAACCTGCTATGTCCATTTTGTGCTATGCATGTAGTCACAGTGTGGGACCATCCCCTGGACAGTAGTCAACCTAGCAGAAGTCACAACCGTCAAGAAAACCGACTCTCCCTCCCTGAGAAGCTGTCAGCTGTCAGTAGCTCCTCAGTTAGGGGTGGAGGACTAGCATATGCTCTTACTGAGCAGTCCAGTAGGGCTACATTTTACTTGAAAGAAGGAAGAGGATCTACATTCTCTGCTCTACATTTTTTTTCTCTCTATTTGATCTAGAATTTACCACATTTCTGTGGGTCTTTCTTCTGAAAGCTGCAGGACTGTCTTGATTATCTGGGGGATGAATCCTAGTCTGGCAACTCTCCCAAGAGCACGGAGGGCAGCATCTTTTGCCTTTGGATCTTTAACTAAGTCCTTCAAGAAACTCTTTCTACAGCAACTTTTTCTACTCTTTCTATCATCTTGTACAATGACTCACAGTGCCCTGGAATTGCGTTCTCGATTTCTTGTTAGAATAGCATCTAAATTATTTTTTTGTAGAAAAACTTTATGTACACATATACACTCGACCAGCATTACTAAACATATTTTTAATCCATAACATTTCTTGTCGATACTTTTGATGGTGTCCTCAGTAACACTTCTTTGAGAAAGTCAATCCACATTTATGGAGAACATACTATGTGCTGGGTTCCATGTTTGTTCTGAGTATATTACTATAACAAAGTACTGTTCAGTCTAGTAGACAGACATCTAAGGTGCTCTACTGAGTACTCATAGTATGTTTATTAAAGTGGAGCATCTTTTTTTTTTTTTTTTTTTTTTGGTTTTTCGAGACAGGGTTTCTCTGTGTAGCTTTGCGCCTTTCCTGGAACTCGCTTTGGAGACCAGGCTGGCCTCGAACTCACAGAGATCCGCCTGGCTCTGCCTCCCGAGTGCTGGGATTAAAGGTGTGCGCCACCACCGCCCGGCTTAAAGTGGAGCATCTTACAGATTCAAATATGACATCCATTAGATGCTAACAGTTTATTGGAACAGTCAGTTACATTAGACAGTATGCTGCAGGAGCTGGTTGCTTGTTGTTTTGTCTTCTCTCTCTCTTTTTTTTTTTTTTTTTTTGGTTTTTCGAGACAGGGTTTCTCTGTGTAGCTTTGCGCCTTCCCTGGAACTCACTTGGTAGCCCAGGCTGGCCTCGAACTCACAGAGATCCGCCTGGCTCTGCCTCCCGAGTGCTGGGATTAAAGGCGTGCGCCACCACTGCCCGGCGTCTTCTCTTATTAGATGTAACTCACCATTCTGTTTGGGGTTAATAAAAACTAGCATATTCTTCTAACCTATAATACTTGGTGATCAGGTACACTGTTAATTTAGCATGTTTTAGAACACCTGAGTCAATGGACATTTCAGTTTTTGATGATCCAGATCAAAGGGTTAAAGGATAAGTCGACAAAACACATTATTTAATAGAACTCACACACAGAAAGTATTTGGCTACCGATCGGCTGTTATAGAGTTGTGTAAATGATGCTGACAAATGCTCCAGTGAAAGCTGATTCATGTTGTCAATGCAAGAATTAGAAGGCTAAATTCTGCCTTGAAGAAATAAGGGACTTTGCTAAGTATCTGTAACTCAGTAATTTATGGAACCAGACTACGTCTTCATCAGCTGCAGTTTTCCCCGGGGGTTTGAAGGTGTAAACTGAGAGGGAGGGCTGGATTAGAGAGAGAGTGACAGTCCTCTCCATCCATGACTTCCAGGCTTCCAGGAGGATGCTGGATGATGAAATGACAGTCAGCCTTTCCCTGCCCAGCGAGTCCAGCATGTTCAATAACAACCGCTCCTCATCACCAAGTGAGCAGGAGTCCAACTCGACTTATGATCGAATCTTTCCCCTTCGTCCTGACTACCAGGAGCCATCCAGACTCATCCGAAAGCTCCCAGAATTTGCTCCAGGGGAAGAGGAGTCAGGTGAGGATGAAATCATGGGCAGGAGACAGAGGAAGAAACTTTGATTCAGATGATGTCGGTATAACACTCTTGCTGCAGGTTAGCCAAATCCAATATGTCTATGGCCTCTGGAGAAAGCTACAGTCCATCTCTAGATTTGGTTGCTGCTGCTTCCAGCCTGTTCTGAGACCCTTCCTTTTATATTTAACATCAGATGTTCAGAGGGACCCACAAAAAAAAAAAAACCTGGCAAAGTATCACTAAGGTGTTCCCAGAAGAAGCTGGGTGGTCTCACCCAGGTAACCTGCTTTTTCTGTATATAATGGGAGAGAAGGCCTAGCTGGTGTACTCACTTGACACCAGACTTCACTGGGGTAAATTCTGGACTGGAAATTACATTGGAGGAAAAGAGATAAATGAAGCTAAAGGCATTTTATAGCTTCTATAGTGGGTAGCTCTCTGAATAACTGAATCATTTAATTTTTGTTGACTTCTCTTTGGTAAATATTCACTCCACTAGCATAAGATTTTATTTTGGCAGTAAATATCTTTTTATCTTTTTTCAATAAAAGTATTGAATAAGGTACATAGTACCAGTTGCTTCAAATCCCAGTCCCCTTTAAAAAGTGCTATAGGGTGACATCAGGAGGGATGCTTGATCGTCTTTGGCATCCTCAGCAACTTTCTGAGGTCATCAGCCTAGAAGTTGAGCAGGTTAGTAGCAGAGGGCATATGTGTGGGAGAGGAAGGCCTGAGTCAGCTGATAGGACTAAATGGAAGAATTGAGGCTCATCAAGGAACAAACTTGCCAAAAGACAAAGGGAAATTAACATCCATTTTATCACTGATGGGGTAAAAAAAAAAATCATAGAAAGAAAACACTGAATTCATCTAATTCCCTAGAAACAGCAAGAGTAAAGATTATGTATGAATTCATTTCCTTAACAGAACTGAAGTAATTAACCTATTTCCTAAAGGCCAAAAAAAATCTCCCATACCAATCATATTTTAATTTTCTAAAATTATCATACGTATTAAACAAGATCATATAAATCCAATCTATGGTTGTTTTCTACCCTAAACTGTGTTGTTCAATTAATGTCAGCATTTTGAAATTGAGGATTTTGCTATTAAACCTTCAACCTTCAAGACTGCTGTCCTGGGACAGCGTAAGACTTCCTAAGGCTTGGCCACACAATTCCACAGGGCTAGTCAGTTGTTCATGATGGTGGCTTGTGAGGAGAGTGAGGAACAAAACGGTGGCCTACATTCTGAAGTCCAAAAGAAAGGTGTTTAGAGGAAGCGCAACTGGCCCCAAGGAAGTGAATATGAAGTGGGTTAGGCTACCATGAGGCCGGATTCTTGCTCTCCCCTCAGATACTCCTTCTTAAAGGTATCTCCATAGTTGCCCTTGGGAACCGGAGTCAGTGCCCGTGTCTTCTCAGGCTGCAGTGGTGTTGTGAAGCCGGCCCAACCCAATGGACCTGAGGGCGTGCCCCACTATGCGGAAGCCGACATAGTGAACCTCCAGGGAGTGACAGGCGGCAACACCTACTCAGTGCCTGCTGTCACCATGGACCTGCTCTCAGGAAAAGATGTGGCCGTGGAAGAGTTCCCCAGGAAACTGTTGACTTTCAAGGAGAAGCTGGGAGAAGGCCAGTTTGGGGAGGTGAGTTGATCTGTGGAATGAGACCCCCAGTCCTTGTTTAGGTGAAGGAAGTAGGTGGATAAAAATGATAGTAGTGCAAGGGTCTATCTAGAAGAGAGTTCGCAGCAGAAGGTCTCCACTAGTGGTTTGTCTGCATCGCTCTTGGGATGGATAGTTAGTGGTCAACCTCATCTCTTGTGTAAGAGCTGTGGATAACCTGGGGCATCTGACTTCTACACAGAAGAGCTTAAGGCAAGTAAGTCACCAGAGTTCAGATATCCTGAAAAATACTCAATGCTTTCAAAAACTGTTTACAGTAGGTTACCAAGGGCAGGGCTCATGGATATCATCATCTTTTATGGATTATCTAGGAACACCCTGCTGCTTGCTATCACTTTTTCCTTTCAATGAGAGTTATATGTCAAAATGGCAAAACAAAACAAAACAACACCCCCCCCCGCCCGAAAACCCCAAAAACAACCTCGCCCTGCTTTTCGTTCCAGAATTAACCACTAGGGAATGAATCACCACAAAAATAAGGAGGAGCCTTCTTCTGAGTAGACCTCAGAATGATGCATGGAATATTAAACTTTTCATTCTTGTAGACGTCATAGGACTTCAGAGAATTCAGAGCAATGTTGCAGCTGTAATAGGATCCCTTTAATCCTGTAATCTAAGCCCCAAATAAAATACTTATTTTCAAATGAATATGTTGTTGACTTTTAGTATGGATCAAATATTCTCCCTCTGGGTAGATGTGGTGTTAGAGGAGACAGAGGGGCCCATGACATCCATCTGTGGTGTTACATGGACTTACTCTGTTCCCTGGGTTGAAATCCTATGCCCACTATACTATTACTAACACAGGTATAATTTACAACATTCTCCTCACCCCAAGGGATTATCTTAGGAAACGGCCTTATGTTTTTTTATGACCAAGGGATTAACTTTCTCAAGTCAAAATTCAACAGTTATGCCAAATGATATTTTCTAGAGGAGTTATGCCATGATAAACTACTGTATTGGAGATCCATTCCATCCTTTATCAATATTCCATTCAATGCATCGACATATTCTATTAGCTGGGCACGTTAGCATTGTTTGATTTTGTCAATTACTTGAATCAAAGATATGTCCCCAGAGCCTCGTGTTGGCCCCTTGTTATTTCGCCTGAGTTGTGAGAGTTAGTTTATCTCCAGGACAAGCCCAGCAGGAGTACTGAGACATCTTCAGGAGAAATGATGATGCTGAGACTAGATGACTTTTGTCTAGGTTCACCTCTGTGAAGTGGAGGGAATGGAAAAATTCAAAGACAAAGATTTTGCCCTAGATGTCAGTGGCAACCAGCCTGTCCTGGTGGCTGTGAAGATGCTCCGAGCAGATGCCAACAAGAATGCCAGGTCTGTGGTCTGAATTTTCCTTTGATTGCTTCATGGTGAGGATTAGAAATATTCCTGGAAATTCCTGAGCTTTTATTTTTCTTTCTTCTACTGAGATGGGGAGGTCTGTGGGCTGTCCTCACAAGCCCACTCTTATGCTTTATACTTCCAATGTGGTTGGAAGTGCTCATCTTTTTCTCCATCCCTTTCAAGCACAAATGCATATATTTATATTATATTCACTATATAGTTATTTCCTCAATCCCTTCACTCAATGCGTGCAACAGTCCGAATGTGTTCTTTACTCATGATACCCAGACAGACTCTTGAATGTCACTCTCTCCTTTAGCTGACTTCTCATAATGACAAACACCTTTCTGCCTACATCTTTGTGTCCTCCTGTTTTTATTTCACACCCCTGTTTACAGTCTCATCCTTTTTTTCTCTTTTATGCTCCTTTTCTTCTATGTTCAGCAGCCCCTCACAATGAGAAGCTACTTCTACTTGGAAACGCATCCATGGACCTCAGAGCAAAAGGATCCACAGTCCTTTAACAGGTTTCCAAAATGGCTAATCATTTCTGGGATCCATTACTACATGAATTTCAGTTTCCATCCACCACATTGTTCCCTGACAGCCTTTCTGTTATAATAGTGGTGAGTTAATCCTCACCCAGAGAGGCATGCTGGTAGAAAACTAATTGTCTGTGTCCCAGAGAAACCTGAACATCTGGATACCACATGCATCTTCCCATGTGTGTTCTCGTGATTTGTTTCACTGGTATTCATCCCAAGAGGACGTTTATTATTCCTAGTCCCTAAGTTATCATAAATTCCAAAAACAATGATAGGTTTCGTTAAAAGTCTTACAATGGGCAGGATGTGAACTGAAGAGAAAGGTGAGGAAATGGAACTGTGTGGGCTTTCACATTTTAACCAAGAGTGTTGACTTGAGAATATTAACATGAATGAAAAGCAACCCTCTCTGGGTCCCACAGAGAGAAGGGATATTCCTCATATTATTAGTCTTTGCACATTGGCAGAAGAAAGTATCAGGCAGGAAAAGACATTGTATGAAATAGGACAATGTATTTCTGGGTTGATGACATTTGCTGGATCTACTTGTTCTCACTCTTGGTTGGTAGTGATAGATGGCCTGAACTCTGGGTCCTCACAAGTCACCAAAACCCAGGGCCTGGGATTTATAGGAATATAAGAGAGGAGACACTGAATCAGGGCTACATGCGTTCCAAGAATTCATCTCAACAGAGTCTGACTTTCAGTGCAGATTTCCTATAAAACTCACCAGAGACTTCTAACTGATCTGCCCCTGCAGTTTTGGGAATGTGGGTTATTGGCTCCATGTTGACAATTTACAACTCAAGTGTGGCTGTCACTATGAAGTCAAACAGTTACAAGTTTTGGCCAAATGAGTACTTTTGAAATGTTTTGAGTTTACCATCACAGCTTTCAAACAACTCTGTTTGAACAAGCCACCAAATCAATGTATGCTGTGGCTGGCTGCTGGTGCAGATGGCATTGGGAAAAGCCAGTAGGAGAAAAAAAGAAATGATCAGATAATCAAAGGGTAGTTATCCACTTTGTAAAAAGGATCTTCACTTCATTAATAGTGTGACTCTGTAGCTTTTGAAAGAATCAAATATTTTAAAGCCCTTGAGTTGGTTTTTAGTGAAGAGCTCCATTTGCAAGGCAGTTTTGAAGCAACACATATTTGAGTCAGTAGTATCAACAACTTTCTATGTAGTGGGCATTTTGCCACATACAAGGAATATAAAAGTGAATCATCGAGCTTGTCCTTGAAAACATTGTTATTGATGAAATAAAGGTTCATTGTGTTCAAGGAGCTGTTGAATGCGATACCAGTTTGTCTGTCTGGGTACCAGTTTGTCTGTCATTTCAAAGATCTTCCAAAGGGGAGCAAGGCATAGTGTGATGGGTGGGAATGGACACTGCTGTGCATCCTTCCTTGCTCAGTTCTGACTCTGATACCCTCTGACTTTATCTACAATCACATCCTCCAAAGGAATGATTTTCTTAAGGAGATAAAGATCATGTCTCGGCTCAAGGACCCAAACATCATCCGTCTCTTAGCTGTGTGTATCACTGATGACCCGCTCTGCATGATCACGGAATACATGGAAAATGGAGATCTCAATCAGTTTCTTTCCCGCCATGAGCCTCTGAGTTCTTGTTCTAGCAATGCCACAGTCAGGTAAACAAGTCAGGTCTTCTGTCTTTTCTCTGTTCTCCTAAGAGTAATTCGTGGGCCTGAAAATGGGGAGTGGTAAAGCTTAAGGTTCCAGTTGTCATAGGGGTAGCATGGGAAGTCAATTAGTAGGTAGTAAATGATGGGGCAGCTCTGCTTTGTGGGGAAATCAAGCAGATTCTTTCAAGAGCAGGGGCAAGATATAGATGGTTCAACCCTGGTTTGTTGCTTAGAATATACCCCCTCCACAGCTGCTTTCTCTTTCTTCTGTGTGCCCTCAGTTACGCCAACCTGAAGTTTATGGCTACCCAGATTGCCTCTGGTATGAAATATCTCTCATCCCTTAACTTTGTCCACCGAGACCTGGCCACACGAAACTGCCTAGTGGGCAAGAACTACACCATTAAGATAGCAGATTTTGGAATGAGCAGAAACCTGTACAGTGGTGACTACTACCGGATCCAGGGCCGGGCAGTGCTTCCCATCCGCTGGATGTCCTGGGAAAGCATCTTGCTGGTGAGTTTCTACAACTGTGAGCCCTATCCCAGTGGCTGACCTGCTGCTCAGGTAGGAGGCTGGGACAAACTGGAGGCAAGCTCCACAGACCTGGATATTTTCCCTGATTTGAGAAGATTGTCTCTGGGCATTATTATTATTATTACTCAAGACTTGCCTATTTCTGATGGAAAAAAAAAGTAATGCGCCACTAGAGAAACTTTAGAGGGAAGGTTTAAAAGTATAAGGAATTCAGTATCCTTTTTCCCGTTTTCTCTTCCACCTGTTGAATGGTCTTAATTCAGGGCATTAAAATACTTATCTATCTGGAGAGTGGTGGCCCACACCTTTAATCGCAGCCCTCAGGAGGCAGAGGCAGGCAGATCTCTGTGAGTTTAAGGCCAGCCTGGTCTACAGAGTGAGTTCCAGAACAGCCACAGCTACACAGAGAAACCCTGTCTTGAAAAATCCAATAAATAAATAAATAAATAAATAAATAAATAAATAAATAAATAAATAAAACTCTTACACATTAAAAACTTATGATTCAAAATATTTTTTTCCATATTAAGTTCATGACCATGCTTTTTATTAGTTATTTAGAATTGTCTGTGTCTTTTTATTTTGATTATTTTTACCATTTATTTGTTGAATCCATTATTTTTTCATTTTACGGTTTTTGACTAATTCTTGGTGTTCTGCACCATGGATGAATGACTTCAGATGCCTCTCTTAGAGTTTGATTTTACTGGCCATGAGTATCTGGACCATTGCAATGCTGATTTTATAGCCACTCAACTCATTCAAGGGATGACTAAACTATGAGCTTTCACTTCCTAATATGCTACCTGGATTGTCTTCTGTAATATTCAGAGAAAAACCCGAGTCCAGTTTGATTTTGTTCATGTCTAATTCATCTACTTATTTCGAGCTGATATTAATATAGGATTTATAAATTAATTTTGAAATGGAAAAATGTACATTACCTTCTCCTCATCAAGGTAAGCATAGCTAATGCTTTGGAATATTGCCTTTGAAATTTTTTTTTGTGCATATATTTCTATGTGTATATGTCCTTAAAATTTTATGTATTTATTTTTGGTTTTCAAGATAGGGTTTCTCTGTGGAGCACTGGCTGTCTTGGAACTCACTTTTTTTCTTGGAACTCACTTTGTATAACAGGCTGGTCTCAAACTCAGAGATCTGCCTGCCTCTGCCTCCCAAGGGCTGCGATTAAAGGTGTGCGCCATCATCTTAATTATACATTGACTTGTACAAGTGTATGTGTGTATGTCTGGAGGGGGTGGGAATGTGCACGTAAAGGATAGGGGGTTGCAGAGGCCAGAAGGGGGAGTCATATCCCCTCGAGCAGGGGAGTGGGTGCCAGGAGTTGACCTCAGGTCCTCCAGAAGAAGATAATTGCTCACTTCTGTCTGTTGTCTCAGTACTTGGGAGGCTGAAACAGGAGGATTGTTGTTAGTTAGACATAAGCATGGATTAGATAGTGAGAACCTGTCTCAAACAAAAAAAGAAAGAAAATTAAACAAAAATAATGATGCATAATATATGCCATTTTATAAAAACCTAATGACATTTATATATATACACATATTATATATATATGAGCCTTTATTTTTATAAATTTCTAACATAACCAGCATTTAATTAAACTTAAAGGTGCTTTGTGGCCTTCAAAAATGACATATTGGCCTACATTCAGGGGGCCATGTTTCCTACTCCAGTTTTTGCATTATTAAAGGACTTATTAACCAGGGTCATTTAGTGAACCGTTCCTCTTATTTTTCTGATCTAAAAATCAATGCCCTCTACATGTCCATGTCACTATCTTTATTAAATAGAAAATGTGTATTTAATGATCAAGTCATTTTTCAAGACTGTGGCTAGAACTGAATAGGGGAGGGAGCGTCCTGAGACTACCAGGATTAACTCCAGTCATCTTCTTTTATTCCTACCTTCAAAACAGTTGACTTCCCCTGCTAATTTAGGCTTTCCCTTGGTGGTTCTCCTAAGTGGCCCATATCCTTCAGGTGGCCCTTCTAGTGTTCAGAGAGTCAGTAGCCTATAGGTACCAGTTCTAACACCCAGAGTCCATTGGCTTACGGTCTGCATCCTTTTAGCTCTTGGCTATCATCTCCAAGAGAAGCAGAACTAAGCTGAGATCACAGGGATGGGAGGATGGACTGCTTTCCAATAAGGTCACATTGCTACTTCCAGCTCCGCTGTGCACATTTTGCCGGTTGCCACATTCCTTGCTTTGGGCAGGGGAAGACTGATTTCAGATGATGAGCATGTGTTTAACATGCTCTTTTTCTTTTTGTGCCTGGCTTTCTCTGATTCTCTTTTCTTTTTCTTCAATAGGGTAAATTCACCACAGCAAGCGATGTGTGGGCCTTCGGGGTGACTCTGTGGGAGACTTTCACCTTTTGCCAGGAGCAGCCCTACTCCCAGTTGTCAGATGAGCAGGTTATTGAGAATACTGGAGAGTTCTTCCGAGACCAAGGGAGGCAGGTATGAACTGTTGGGATGTGGACTTAGGTGATCTCGAGGGAGAAAAGACTTAGTAGGAAGGCCCCAGCTCAAGGATGGAAACAGAATTTTGTTTATGTTCAATCTATTCCTGGATCTAGATTATTCAGCAAGTCTGTGGGTTGGCAAAAAAAAAAAATCTTAGAATAAGATGTGGTGTTGGTTTGAGCTGGTAAGCAATATGTCTGCACTTGGACATCCACAAATGGACTGGTGTAACCTGGTCCTTCTCTGGGGAGGCTCCTCTAGGCCTATTTATGGAACCTCTTGGAACTTATGGACCATTGAGTCTTCAAGCTAACAAGGAGTCCTGATTTCTTGAGATATCGAGCTTTCTTTGGTTGGTCAAGTTTTTGATGCTCCTGTAAGACCTAGGACTTAAAGCTTGCTAATAACCAGAGCATTGCAGTCCCCCAAGTGGTCTGTCTGTAGCACACCTTACATCATGGTATCTCCAACACACAGATGGTAATAGCTGGAGAAAGGTTTTGCAGGAGATGAAAGTGGGTCCTTTCTGGCTTAACTAGACTTAAACAAGCAAATGATGAGAGAGGGACAAGAATAATACATGGTGCATGCTAAAAATGAGAATGGGCCTGCAATTTCATTTTTATTTCAATATTCTTTAGATAGTGTGGTAGTAAGAATTCTAAATCACCTATCCTAGTTAGGAGGTGTCTTAGTTAGGATTTCTGTTGCTGAGATGAAACACCATGACCAATAGCAAATTTGGGAGGAAAAGGTTTATCTGGCTTATATTTCCATATTGTAGTCCATCACTGAAGGAAGTCAGGGCAGGAACTCAAACAGGGCAGGAACCTGGGGTCAGCACTTGACGCAGAGACCATGGAGGGGTGCTGCTTACTGGCTTGTTCCTCATGGCTTGCTCAGCCTGCTTTCTTAAAGAATCCAGGAACACCTGCCCAGGGATGGCCTTACCCACATTAGGCTGGGCCCTTCCTGATCAATCACTAATTAAGAAAATGGCCTACAGGCTTGCCTACAGCCAGATCTTATGGAGACATTTTCTTAATTGAGGTTTTCTCAGATGACATTAGCTTGTGTCAAGTTGACATAAAACCATCGAGCACAGGAGATAACTGCTCTCTTACTGTGATGAAGCAAAAATTTGCCCTTGTCTTTACGAAATATGCAATGGACCAAGAAAAAAAGTTTCTCTTCATAGATTAATGTATTCAGACCACCCTTTAGAGGACACATGGCCAGTTAAGAGTTGTGTGTTCAATTAGAAAATGGATCCTACTCATCAAAATAATGGCCTAGAATTATAGTAAATTTTGTTGTTATTGCTGTTGTTGCTTTTGAGACTGGGTCTTGCTACATTCCCAGGGTGACCTTGAACTCCTGCCAGAGCCTCCTGAGTACTAGGATTACAGGCCTGCTACTACTACACCTGGCATTCTTCTATAATAATTTTTCTAAAGTTCTATAGAGGGCACCTCACAAAGAGATCAGCAATTTTAAGTTTTACTGGTAATATATGAGACTGCCCATTACGCTATACCCTTATTGGTAATAGTGTCTTTCAAATGCTTGGTATTTTATAGTCATAGTTTTTATAACTCGCAGAATTAAACTTTGTTATATCTGATTTGATCTTCCATCTAATTTGCTATTTTAACAGAAGTCAAAGCTTTTGCCTACTGGCCTTTTTACCTATATATTAGGAGTTGATGGCATATGTGACTATTAGACTCTGGGTAAAGCCCAGCTCCTATGATACATGATGCAGGCTGGTGTTGTGTGGAGTAAGGCAGGGCAATGGGAAGTAGTTAATGATGAACTAGGTACAGATATGTGTTCAGCAAAGGCAATGATAATTTGATGGTTCAGAGAGCATAGGAAATTTAAGTTTGGTTCAGTAATCTATCACTGTAGAAGAGTATTAAGACTATAGGTAGGGAGATGATGGTAATGACATACGGAAGACAGAAGATGGACTGGGAGTTAGCAGAGTAGTATCTTCCTTGTGGAGATGGCAACTGGTAACGTCAGAGTAGCATCCTAAGCTGGGACTGGGGCACAATGACCATACCTGTTAGTGCAATCTTATCTCTTCTAATTGAGACCGATACAGAGAAGGGGAAACACAGAGAACAATGGTAGGCATTACAAGGATGCGGCCTGCATCCCAATTTCTGCATCAGCTGAAATTTTATTCCAATCAAAATTGCAATAAAACCTCAAATACTTTATGGAGCTGAAGTTACAAATGTACTTTGTTTCTGTTGTATTGGCTTAACCAAGAAACATGGTCATAAATTGAAGATCTGAGCTCCCTTGGCATTGGTTTCATCTTCAACATGAAGATAGGGCCCACAGAATGGCCCACCATGAAATAATGCCTGAGAGAACTAGAAGAGACCAATGAGAAAAGGGGCTGATGAGCTAGAACTCCATGTATGGGAAGAATAGATAGAACACTCATTTCAGTTGCTGAGTTCAATAAAGTGGTGAGGGCATAAATCAAACTATGATACAATTCATTCTCCTCCTCCTCTTAATACTTATTTTTCTCCTTCAAAATTTTTGTTCCCAAAGACTTATCTCCCTCAACCAGCCATTTGCCCCGACTCTGTGTATAAGCTGATGCTCAGCTGTTGGAGAAGAGATACCAAGCACAGACCATCATTCCAAGAAATACACCTTCTGCTTCTTCAACAAGGGGATGAGTGATGCCATCCACGCCTGCCGATGTTCCTGTGGCCCAGGTCCTCCTCACAAGACCTACCGCTAACCCACATCTAAGCCACTCCATCTGGACATTTAATGGACTCGAGAGACAGGGAATTGTTCACTTTGCTCTCTTACTGTCTCTTGTCTTCTCTGGTACACTTCCCTACTCCCTACCACTGACTCATATATACTTTTTTTTTGTACTGAAATAACTAAAAGAGAAAAAAATAGAGCAGATAAAGTTTAGTAAAAATATTACTTGATATACCAAAGGGTTAGATCATAAAGGCTAGAAACTCAGATAATTTATAAAGGTTATGCTTATGTTTATAAGTGTGTAGATCCTACAATATTTTTCCATGTCTTTTTTTTTTTTTTTTTTTTTGGTTTTTTTCGAGACAGGGTTTCTCTGTGTAGCTTTGCGCCTTTCCTGGGACTCACTTGGTAGCCCAGGCTGGCCTCGAACTCACAGAGATCTGCCTGGCTCTGCCTCCCGAGTGCTGGGATTAAAGGCGTGCGCCACCACCGCCCGGCCCATGTCTCTTTTTATAAAATATCTTTAGAAGGAAAAACTTGAAGAATACGAATGTTTTGGGAAGCATCAGATTAGGCTTAAGGAAAATACTTGGTGGCTATGAAGAATTGCAGGACTTGGCATTCCATAACTGATGGATGTTTTTCTGTCTGGACATATCCCACTCTCACTCTTAAATCTCTCTCTCTCATTCCTCTATCTCTCTCTCTCTCTCTCTCTCTCTCTCTCTCTCTCTCTCTCTCTCTCTCTCTCTCCTCTCAAAGTGAGTGACATGTACTTAAAAGTTAAAAAGCTCTGTCTTGTATCTTGGAATGAATGTTTTCTTCATTCATGGGCAGAGATCAGGATATAACTATGAAACAGGGCATATGGGTAGGAAAAAGTGTGTTGTAAGGCCTGAAGGACAGTGGTTCTATACAGAAAAGAAAGGTTGCACAGGATTCTCAGTAGACAGGGTCATAGGAAAGGAGGTCCATGGAAGATGAATAGAAGATGTACTATTTGTTGTTCCCATGTGAGAGTCATTATCTTAACCATTTTCACCTGCGTGTTTTAGTGACAACTTGACTTTTCAATCAGTAAAAGCCCAACATTTTGGTAATTTTAAGGCTGCTCCTTTGGTTCATCTTGCCCAGTTCTATTTATTTCAATATGTGATGCCTCTGTGGGACCTATAGGCTAGGATTTGAACTTCTCTTTGATGCCATGTACAACATACAGTAGATCCATTCTGAGTATTCCCTAAAGGTTGGCCTAGACCACTGAAAGGAAAGTATAGGAAGACTGATTTCCACTCTTTATTTGGGGAAATATGGAGAGAATCAGAACACACAGGTGTGGATGGGCTTCCCCAGAGATGGGGAGTCTCTCATCTCTGAAAACTTTCAGATATTAGTTGAAGAAGTATGCAAGAAAGAGGTTCTTGACCACTGGATACATGTGTCTGTATGGGATAATGAAAGGTTGACCGTTCAGTGTTACTGAATGTGCTTTTGCCATAGAGATGGTGGCCAGCAGCCAAGCAGGAGGTTCTAGTTTCAGGAGTCATGGAAACTGATACACAATCAAGAGGAGTCGCCTAAGAGCAGATCCTAAGTGTTCATACTCAAAAGACTCTCAGATTCATCAGGAAACTAGAATACAGAAATTTTAAGTCCTATAGAGGAAAACCAAGAAAAGATTACTAAATAAGCTTCCTAAGCTGAGGTAAAATAGTTGTGTTCTCCTTCTATCTATCTATCCAGTCAGCTTGCTCTATGGTCTCTCAGAAGCTGGACTCTTTCTGGTTCTGCCTTTAGTATGGCTCCAGGACACAGCATAGGTGTGGCTCTAAGTCTTATTTGCAGATTCCATTCAGTCATAGTGAATTCCCCTTCTCTGCAGCTGTTGTATTCTTCTTAGCTTTTAGTCTTTGCCAAGACTAACTGTGGGTCATTGATTAGAGAGGTAGGTGAGCATTGGGTTGGGAACCCTGGCCCTCTTCCTCTCTCAAGCCAAATATGCCATCTTCCCAAGTATCAAGGTCTCTATGAGTTTGTTTCCTTCTCTGTCTAATGAGTAACCTGAACTAGACGGTCTGGAAATGAAAATCTCTTGGGGTTCTGCTATGTTTTGTGCTTGCTGGAGAACTAGATTTGAGACTGGGGTAGGTTCAGTTACTCTCTTGCTCAGAAAATAGTGGCCAGTAAAAGAGCTCCCGAGAGAACACATTGTAGTTACACTGACGCCTGCATTGTATCTGCTCTAGAGCGACCAGGTATTTCCACACATGATCTCATTTGATATTTCTAGGGCCAGACATGTTTCTTTCCCAACTCTTGAATATATACTCTTTAGGATTCTGACCCCAACTCACTGTATCTCTTTACCTGTCACTTAAAAATCATCTTTAAAACAAAATTTCCATGACTTTTCATCATGGAACTTATCTGTTCCAGATGGCTATCAAATATGTATCATCATATACAGAGACCATTTTCCTTCCTTCCTTCCTTCCTTCCTTCCTTCCTTCCTTCCTTCCTTCCTTCCTTCCTTTCTCTTTTCTCTTTCCTTCCTTTCTTTTTCTTTTTTTTTGTTCTTTTATTTTTATATGAAGAAGGATCTACCTTCTGGCACTGAGACCCTTGTATTATAGACACAGGTTTAGTTTTTATTTACACTTGTAGAGTTGAGCTGTACCAACCTGAGCAACCCAACATGGTAGATGGTAGGAGCTTACCATATAGACTTAACAGGTAGCTCAAATCTAAATTAGAGGAATGAAAATAGGCTTTGGCAAGAAAAGCAGAAGCCAATGAGAAACCGTGGGTTATTGTTATTTTCCCAAGTTATTCATGATCATGATATATGTGAACCATTTATGTTAAGATGTCCTTTAGAGTGTCATAACTCAATTTATACCTTTTTTGAAGAATGTATTGGTAGCCAGGTCCATTTATTTTTTAGTGCTGGGGATCAAACCCAGAGCTCACACATGCTAGGCAGGGGTTCTGTCATTGATCTATAGCCTCAGTATCTATGTTCAAATCTTGCCCTGTTGGCCAGACAAATGTCACTAATTCATGTGTGTGATCTGGAGTTGAGAGGAGTGCCCTGAGGGGAAAAAACACCTGCATGTGTTCCAGAGTATGTAACAAAAGAGGGCTGTGTGCAAGTGGTGGTTTTAAAAAGTGGTTGCATGAATGTGTGTGTGTGGAAAGAATGGGGAGAAAATGAGAAAGAAGGCATCATAAAGAGAGGCAAGGAGAGATTATGGGAAATCACAGGAGGGGGCAAGTCAGGCAAGGTAGAAACAGGGATGGCTGGAGATCGGGAAATCAACTGATATATGAAAGTGAACTCTCGAAAGAAGATCTGAGAGAGGTTCAAAAAAGTGACTTGAGAAGAATGGAGGGTGAGTAAGAGAAGAAATGCTGGGTGAGAGAGACCGTATTTATTAAAATGAAGTCAGGTACACTATAGGAAATGGAATGGATTTTTTGGAGAGTTAAGGAAGGGATGCTGGTCTTCACGGATACAGAAACATGTAGCCACCAGGGAATGACTTTCTCATCTCAGGGGAAGTGGGTACAGGAGGCAGTTTGCTCTCCTGTTTGTTCTAGACCACATCTAGTGCTGGTGGCAAGCCAAAGTTGTCTGTGCACTGGACTTGGTGTTCTATGTGCCGTTTGGGTATGAAGATCTAGGAGTCGGGGAGCTTATGGTAGTTACTGAATCCACTTTCAATAATGCTCATCATTGCTGGAGCCAGAATGGCCACAGCAAACCTGGAAACAATAGGTGTAAGCTAGACAAGACTAAATCTCATCTGATTTTTAAAAGGAGGGGTGTGTCATATTGAAAACATGTTTGTTTAGTCCCACCCAGGCATCCCACAAGAAAACCAGGATGTGAGGCTAGGCCATGTGTTTTAAGTAAAGAAGAGAAAGAGAGGAGTGTCAGGATGAAGGGAATGGGGGAAGATGTTCTGAGAACATACACCAGAAGACAGAAGAGTGTCTGTTTTTATCCCAAAGTACAAAATGAAGAGAACTGCAAAACATTGGTTATTATGACTTTGATCCTAAGTTGAATTCCTGGGCCTGGCATTTAGCATCATACTCCTCTTTTCTTTGTTTTGAAGACTATGTTCTTGGGTGCTGTGTGGGGTAAGCCCCTAATGTTTTGACAAGACGCAGATTTGACTCTGAGAAATCCTTTTGAACTGAAGCTTCATATTCTAGAAACAGATGATTGTTATTGAACACTTAGTGAATTATTTGGAATCCTGAATTAAGGAAGGAAACTGGGTAGTTAGTAAGGGCTTGATTTTTTAGCAGTTTTGAGCTCTGTTCTCTAAGGAGCTCAGTAGGCTGGCAGGAAAAGACTGGAGAGGGACAATTTAGTTGTCCTGTACTTTTCAGAAACTTGTTATTTTCAAATTATCTGAGACTTGAAAGAAGTTACAAAAGAATAAGTGCAGAGTGGCCTTACCCTGGATCTGGTTTCCTCCCACTGATAATATTTCAGTCTATTTTCATCTATTAAAACCATGGTCTACTTTGAGCCACTTTCAAAACTGAAGTCTAGGCTTGCCTTGGATTTCACAAGTTTTCCTGCCTTGTACACATTTGCTCACTGGACATCACCTCTGTTGGTTTGTAACCTGGCCTTGGTGGCACCCAGCAGGAAAGACTCTATCTGGATATTATTCTACAAACATTGAAAAACCAGCAAATTGACAAACTCATTTACCCGTGAACAATATCCTACATATTTCCTGAATCCACTTTCAATTAATGCTCATCACTGGGGGACCCAGAATGGCCCTAATCATGTGTAATGATTAGTTCCTTGGTTTGGCATCACAAACAATCCAAGAACACCTTAAGAAGAGTAACACCATAAAAGGCTTTTAGGCAGAAGGAAATTCTAAACAGAAGAATGAAACTTTTGTTGGTGACAAGAGGCCTTTAAGGTAAACCAGTACTTTGGTCAAGAATTAAGTGGTACTGAATGGAAGCAGGGATAGTTTGTGGATAGAATACAACACAAATATAAACCCCTAATGTGAGACGATAAAACATTCATTTCAGAGTACCAGAGAAGTTTCATTTGCTCAAATGTTCATCCTTAATTATAGCAAAAGCTGCTAAATTAAATGCAAACACAACAGCTTCCTGGGGGCAAAGTGGAAACTCTAGTTTCATGGATCATGACTTTGGGTTTTCTGTTGGACATTTTTAAGCTGCCCTGCTTAAGGGCTACATGATTATAGCTGTCTTTGGCTTATGAAGTTCCTAGCACACAAGTGAATATTCTGTGAATCTTATGTTTTTAATGAATAAAGGATGGAAACATTGTTATGTATCACAAGCGTGAATTTTGGGAGAAGTGCTTTGTGAAAACATAGAGGGCTTTTTTTCAATGAAAAAGAAAAAGGAAAGAAGTGTCTTACAAACAGTGGATACCCTTGTATCTTTGGGATGGTGAAACTGATTCAGACAGCCATGCAATGTAGTTCTAACAGGGCACTAGATCAAAGGCAGAGAGCGGACTCTGGCCCCAAATCTAGCTCTTCTGAAACGAGCTATTCATTTAGTTTTTCCTACAGGCACCTTGCCAGTACCTTTACAGGTCATATAGGTGAACAGATACAAGTTGCAAGGCTGATCTGCGATCACAACTGTATGTCAAGAAAACATTTGTCAAAGGAAAGCACAGGCAGTTGCTATCAGTGCAAATGTGTTTTCCTAAAAAGAGGCTTGGTATAACAGGGAAAATTGGGAGCATTCCTGCAGACACACTGAAGGTTTGTAATCTAACTATTCACCTGAATCATTCTTTGCTGTTTAAGGATTCACCTCTTCTAGCTGGATGTCTGCTAACTGTTCCTGAGGACTGACTTCCTGCAGCAATATGGTGGACTCTTCTATGATGAGGCAACATTTGGGCTTTGTTCAATAGGCTGTGGTGGATATGTGCCTTGTTAAGGGCTAAACAATAAATGGATTTAATTTCTGCTTAAAAGTATCATAGTCACTCTAAAATAGAATATATATATAGAAATCTTCTGTATTAGAAAAGGAATAGAACTTGATGCCCATTGTATATTTTCTTTATTTATTCTCTGTAAGTCTGTTGGATGATAAGTTGTAAATAACAGTGATTAAAGAGTCATGCTGCTGATGGAGTCTTCTTTCTGTCTAAGCAGTCACAGTTCTGGTGGTCTCTGTTACCTTTCCTCCTTACACTGTGTGTGGAGTAGTGATGAGATATAGGGAAAGAGCTACAGGTGCATGCAGTCTGGACATGTTTATTAGGGCTATCTGGTAAGGGGGCGGGGCATGTGAAAAGGCTTCTGTTTGATATTAGCTAACGTGGCTATGTCTCTGACATATCCAAATATAGTAGACACTGTGATTTCATATCTTCATACTATTGTGCCTGTCTGGGAACCTGAGTCCAGCATTTCCATTGTCATCTGGAGAAACTTTATTGTCATTGCTACAGAGGGTTTTTTTTTTTTTTTTTTTTTTTTTTTTGGTTTTTGTTTGTTTGCTTCTTTTTTGGAAGAGAAACCGCTGCTAAATCCAAACATGGTCTGTCTCAGGTAGCCGATCACACAAGCATAAACCAACAAAACTGTATACAACTGGAATCCAGACTCAAACTTCACAATAGAGATTAAAACGGAATGACTCCAAGCACACCTTCCATGAGCCTGCAGAACAGGTTTCGAGTACCATGAGCACACTTCTTCCAGCACTTGTCACAGCAGATAAGAAAAGAATGGGTACAAATGCTCAAAGAATAAACAGAGTATTCATGATTGCTCTTTCTGTCTCTACAATGTCCAGGATTTCAGGACCCAAGACCAGGAATTCATGCACCTGAGTGGTTGAATTTGGACGGAAGAAAAGGAAACAAGGGGATTGGAGATGTTCAGAGAGATATAATCTGCTGTTAACCCCTATTGCCAAGGCTTAAAGGCAGATATGAGTGGTGATTTGCATACATCCATACATAAACACACAGACAAGTTATTCATATATCTAATACATAGGTTGTTAATGAGGATGGAAATTATGTCCACTCAGTTTCCCATCAGCAACGTGCAGGGGCTTGGTTAAGTTGCAGAGAACAAGGAAACTAATTTCCATGTATAGTTTTATATTTATTTCCCATTTGAAGAAGAAGTGACCACATGTCTGTAAATTGTTCTCTTCTGTAGTGTGTGGATTCTACACAAGGTAACATTTGACTGTTTACCATAATGAACTGGGTAAAATCCTGAGTTAGTTTTGGGCCAGATTGAATGCATTATTTCTAGGGAAGAGGGGTGAAAAATACAAACAAGAGAAGTCACACAGCCCCAACTAGCAGTTGTTCTTTAGTCCTGTTTGCAAATTAGAGGCAGGCAACTCTGGGAAAGTTTATAAGGACCAAGAATGCTTTATTATTGGAGCAAAAGAGACTTCACTCATCCTTGTCTATTGTACAATAGAAAGAATCAGAGATCAGTGTCAGAGCTTAGGGTAGAGACACATTTATTATATGTGGGCATGAATAATGATAGAGTTGCTACACCTACTATTCAACTCATATACCAAAGCTTGTCAGTGATAGGTAGCCTCACTGTGTACCACACTGTTCTGATACCCAACAGAAGAAGCCCTTGAACAATACAAACCCAAGAGGAGTTTGGAGTGATGGAAAAACAACCAACCAACTCAGCTATGGATTAAAATATATTCCAATTGTTTTGGGGTTGTGTCCTCCCTGCGACAACTTATTTTTGAAATAAAACATTCTAGTCTAACAGTCCAGTCCATCCCTTGAAGGTCACAGGGCGTTGGAAGCAGCAACTTCAGTAGAACAAAAGAAAAACACCCAGATTTCCACACTGGGCTAGGATGGAAGTGATAAGAGGGAGAAGGAGAGATTTTCTCTGAAGTCTTCTGGGCATCATGTAATTCAAAGCTGCTCCTACACCGATTCTCATCTGAGACTGTGGTGAGGCTGAATCCCTAGCTAACACATCCAACCTGTCATTGTGATATGATGTTTTCATGGACAAAGTTCACACTAAGAACTACACGGTAGAGCTTTAAAAAAAATCTCAAAATAAACTTCACAATATTTTAATTATGTTTACAGTTTTATGTTGCTTTCGTAGTTGCAGTTTGGATACAGCTGCTTGGCTCTAGACTCTATGCTTGCTGATTTCTTTGAAGAAATGGGTTTTCTTTGAGAGAGCCACATAGTTCTCTCTGCTCTCTTACATGTCACCCCTGCACTCCAGGGTTTAAAAGGATCATTTGGAGCCGGGAGGTGGTGGCACATGCCTTTAATCGCAGCATTCTGGAGGCAGAGATGGGCAGATCTCTGGTCTACAGAGCTAGTTCTATCCAGGACAGCCAAAGCTACACATACAAAAAACCACCCTATCTCCAAAAACAAAACAACCACAACAAAAAGGATCCTTTGGGTCTAGAACCTCAAGATCAGGGAGAATTTTACTCCAAGGCTTTTAGAAAATACAGTTAAGATACCATCTTTGAAGAACTGATCAAAACTCCATGTTAAATTTCAGCAGTTAGTTGGTATCAATAATCAAAACATAAAGATCAAAACCCAGAGAAGATGATCTCCATCATTTAGGATCGCTGCTACCCATAGTCATCACAGCTTTGAAAGAGGTATGAAGTTTGTTTGGTTGTACTATGTATAAGTATTAGTACTTCTACTCAATGTTACTCGGGACTTTTAAGCATCTATAAAGAGGGAAAACTGGAAAAAGGATTATAATAGCTGTACCAGGTACTTTTATAGAAATTGAACTTAATTAAAACTGGGAGTTGTAATTTATATGCATTTGCCCTTCACTCCCTCACTTTCTAGCTTCCTCCCTGCTGCACACCCCCCCCCCCTCCCCCAAGTACTCATCTGGGATGGCTTGACGACCAAAAAAAAAAAAAAAGGCCCTTTACAGAGGCCGAAGGGCACTGACGGCGGATGACAGTACACATTCCTTTAAGAGTTCTGAGTTCATTTCCATTCCACATTCAGAGCCCGGAAACTGCTAATTTACCCGTGACTGGACATAACTAAAACACAATAAAACCCATGTTCCTTTCCTCAAAGATCATGCTTTAGAGAAGGATCAGAAGTAACCTTGGACTTGGGTTCCTGCACCCCACCCTCTCCCAGCATCCCTGTAAAGCTTCCAGTTCTGCCCGCCCGCTCGCCTTACTAGGAACAAAGACCCGCCCCACGGTGACACCTCCTGCAAACTGGGGGCGGGGACTGCCTGGATTGGCCGGGACCTCTGTGTCACGCGGCTCCGCCCCTCGGCCTATCTCACCCCACCCGGCTCCGGCGTGGAGAGAGGATGTCGTGCTGCAATTGGCTGGCCCTAGGCGGGGACGGATGACGCAAGCAGAGGCGGGGCCTGGACGAGCCTTGATTGGTCGTGGTGCACGAGGGCACGGATCGTGGTCCCGGCTGTGAGCTGCTGTGGTCGCAGGTGCAGATTAACTCTGCTGCGAGCCGTGCACGATGCGGAAGGTGGCTTTGATCACCGGGGCAAGCAGGTGAGGCCGCCTGCGGAACCCCGCAGGCTAAGTTCCAGGGTGCGGGGAAGCGCAGGTCGGTGACCCTGGACTCACTTTAGTTCGGAAGAGACCCTCCCTGCCCTTCTTTGGGCCTCCCAAGAGGTGTGGTCGTGCTCGCCTCTCTGGGTCCTCGGCTACTGGCTCTTTGAATTAAACATGACAGTAGAAAGGAAAACTAGAGCGCAAGTTACTGATCAGCCTGGCAGCTCTCAAGAGACCTGGCAGTTTCATTCAGACTCCGCCGTCGCCCTATCAGTGACCCAGTCTCTAGTAGTTACTGTAGCTGCCCACGGTTCACTTTAACCCTAAAGACGCCGCGTGTCTTACACTCCGGGTGTTTAAATGTCAGCATCCATGGGCTTTAGGACAATGGGGAGATCTCATTCCTGCAGCACACTTCGCTCTCCCCAGGAACACTCAGAACGATCAGTCGTTTCCTGTTAAGGCTTGTCCTAATGCAGTTACCAGTTCATAGATATTCCAAGCTTGCTGGTTTGACCCTTGGCCTACTTATTGCCTACTAGACTTCTTATTTGTCCACGAAGAATGTGCGGAGGATGAGACCGACCAACCTTCCCCCCGGCTGGTGACATGGTTATTTTTGAGGAATTAATATTGTTCTAACCATGGCCATATTAACTAAGCCAGTGTAGGAGAGGTCTCTCTTGGACTTTTTGTTAGCATGTCCTCTCCTTTGGGTCAACTGGTCTTGGTGGTTTTTTTTGTTTGTTTGTTTGTTTTTGTTTTGTTTTTTTTTGTGGAAGGTGCATATAGAAGTCAGGTCTGATCTTGTGTTTCTTTGATATATATTGTGGTATGTGCAATTGTATATTTATACTAAAGGTCTGCTATTTTGAAGTGAGGATGAATAGGCCCGTATATGTTTGATCCGTTTGATCCTCCTGGAAGGGCCACCAGATTATGTGAGCCCCGGACTCACACTGGGGTTCTATTTGCTGGCAGTCTGCATGAGAATTTAGTAGTGCCCAGGATGGCATTGCTCCCAGCAACTGGCCCCATCTGCTGGGCACTTTCATACTGCTCTTTCTGACCTAGTGTCTCTACAGCCTCTGTGAACTATGCTTCACATCCCGGCTTCTCGGTCTCCCTCTCCATCTGATTTGTATTCCTTTCTGTCTACTTGCACTGAAGGCTTTTTCTTTCTCTTGTTTATTCTGCTGTACTTTAGTAGTTGATGGGGATCTAACCTCCCGCCATGCTGCTCTGCTTTCTCCTTGGGGGCAGGGGATCAACGCAAAAGCTCCTCTGTTCACTTATCAGGATTTACAGTTGTCCTAGGAGCAACAATACCAGGAGGAGGTAGAACACTTGCCTTTGAGGGACCTAGACAGCACAAGAAAATGGGGATGTAATAAACAGCTAATAAGATCCTCTTCACAGCATTTGCTGGGGATGTAAATCACAGCGTAACAGGTGCCCCAAACCCTACAAGCCTGTGTCATTGAACTATTTTAGAGGGGAGCAACTGGATGTGAGTCTAATCAAATGACTTATGGGGTTGGTTCCTTCCTTCACGTAATGTTTGGTTATTTTTCTGTCAGCCTGGGCTTCTCATGGGAGCTCATGTTGACACAGTCAGGTTTCTGAGCCAGAGAGAAATGCCTTGATTGAGGACCATTTCAATGAACTCATGCCCTGTGCCTGAATTGTCTTCTCAGTGGCATTGGGCTAGCCCTTTGCAAACGACTGCTGGCAGAAGATGAGGAGCTCCACCTGTGTTTGGCATGTAGGAACCTGAGCAAAGCAAGAGCTGCTCGTGATGCCCTGCTGGCCTCTCACCCCTCCGCCGAAGTCAGCATTGTGCAGATGGATGTCAGCAGCCTGCAGTCGGTGGTCCGGGGTGCAAAGGAAGTCAAGCAAAAGTATGTCTCCTTTGGACAGGTTACTTTCTCCTGTGGTAGTGCAGCGTTACATTTTAATCAAATGAGAAAGGACAGGGAGCTATGGGAAGGTAATGGGTGTACTGTAAAATGAGTGACCTTAGAGCCCAGAGAGCTTGGAAGTACCCTTTCAAGTTGGCAAATGCATCATTGTGTCTGGTACCAGGTCTTTCCACCTACAGTATTCTGTTTGGTTAGAACTCATAAGAAATGCTGATGCTGTTTTTATCTAGATAGAGACACTATGGCAATCCTTTCATCTTTGAATACACTAATTATATTGTTTGATTGAAGCCAGAGCTTAATTTCCACATTTTACTAAGCATTGCTTCTTCATGACTAGCCAAATAAGTTACTGTTACTGAAGTTTGTAAATTAGATAATGGGATAATTAATCTGAGGTGCCACTGGCTTCACTTGCATGGTGAGTGGTGGTTATAGTGGCAACAATGTCATTACTTCAAATCGTCATTTTAATAATTGGAATCGTATGGTTATTCGATAGCATGGTCAAGAAATGCTCGTGCATAATCCATATTGTCAACCAAGTATATCAAGGTCCAGTTTTAATAGCTGTGGATCTATCCTGGGTTACCTAGAGGACACAGTATGGTGCCTAGGATTCTGGGAGATACTCTGAGCATGGATGTTGCCTGAGTATCATGGGAGCATGTCCTGCCTGCTTTGATCCAAGTTCCAAAGGGGTGTATTCGTATTAAGGCTTATGAAGTTTCAAAACTGAAAAGGCTCACTCAAGTCTGCATTTCTCAGCTCCTCCACGACGTGTATTCTGGATCAAGCCCACTGAGAATACCTAAACCCCACAGGGCATTTACAGTTTCGGGGGATGAGAGTGACCTTAAATCAGTTTATGATGCATAGCCCCTGGCTATGAACACAGGGTGGTTTCCACTTGGGTCTTCTGTTTTGGTAGCTACCAGGCCATCCAGATCTTAGCACAGATAGGTCAAGTCAGGCCTGCTCTATACATTATGTAAATTTAATTTGTCAACTATGGCAGATGTGAACTGGCAAAAAGGGCAATAACTTTGTAAAAGTTACTGGAGGAAGAGGAAGGTGGGTTTGATAGAGGGTACCTCAGTGCCTGATTGGTGGGCCATAGTTGGAGTCTCATATAGAGATTTAACTCGAAAGCCCATTGAAACCACCCAGAGCAAGGATACTCATGGTGGCTAGAGAAACTGTTGAAAAAGAACTATCTTAACCCTGGTGTTACATAGCCTGTGTGGCCATCTTAATCGGTTCAGAAAGGGTTTTCTGTCCTTTGACCTTCTGTATTCTAGTGATGGAGTGCAGTTTTGTGTCATCTTTTCTAATGATGTCATTTTGGCATTTTGCTTGTAGGTTTCAAAGACTAGACTACTTGTATCTGAATGCTGGAATCATGCCTAATCCCCAGCTAAATATCAAAGCCTTTCTCTTTAGCATCTTTTCAAGGTAATTATCATTATTCCAGATCCTGTGAGTCATGACCCATTTGGGGGGGGGGGGGGCTCAAACGACACTTTCACAGGGGTCACATGTCAGATAACCTGCCTAATCAGATATTTATATTACAGTTCATAACATTAGCAAAATTACATTTATGAAGTTGCAATGAAAATTTTATGGTTGGGGACGTCACCACAACATGAGGGACTGTATTAAAGGGTCGCAGCATTAGGAAGGTTGAGAACCACTGGTCTAGACGAACTGATTACAAGGAAGGCATTCATTTTGCTGCTGTGGTCTTTGCCTTTGGTGTGTATGTTGAGTCAGGGGATGCTGAGGAGAATGAAGATATATAGACAGGAGGAGTTGGTACCAGAGTAGACATGTCAAGTACTCATCTTTGTGGAGAACACTGCATGTTGTCATGGTTTTTATAATGTTCTAACTCTGGAACATTCCATCTCATCAGATGGCTCATCAGCTTTTGATTTGGCTGAATGGGCTGCTGGTGGAATTTGTCTTATTAAGGTGGCATTCTTAGCCAGCCTCCAGCACCTATCAGGTTGCATGGGAAGATGCCTCGTGGTGTGTGTCAGCCACTCTGACCAGTATGCTGAGGGGATGCAGAGAACCAGGGTCTGCCTGAGAGAATCTTGATACACATGAGTGTAGTGGCTTTCAAAGCTAATCACAAATCAGAGTCAGAAATAAGTCTTGTTTGCAACCCAATGCATTTATTCATAGAGATTTTTGATCTGGGCTGTGTATTCACTTCCTCTTTACTTTTCTTCCATGAAAATAACATGCACAAATCCCACTACTAAGCTGATCTCATAGCAAGACACACTCTGTTAGTTTGTTTGATGCTCTTAGAATTCCTAGTGAAAAAGAAAACCTGCTTAGTTTTTTTCAGTAATTAAACACACTTCTGTGGGTGAAGACTTTTTCTCATTGGCATAGCTGTGATTGCCTAAGAGTAGTTGACATGTAATCTGATGGGGTAGGGGGAACAGGAAAGCATGTTAAGTACACCTGTGAATTTGGGGGGCAAGAAGCATTTAGAACTCATTTAATACTCACAAATGTCCAGGAAATTGGCATTTTGTCATTATAGAACCAAAGAAGGGGTGTGTGTGTGTGTGTGTGTGTGTGTGTGTGTGTGTGTGTGTGAGAGAGAGAGAGAGAGAGACATCTTTAGTATTTTCAGTTACAGGAACGTTAAAAATCACACTATTGTCTTCTGCTATTTCAGAAATGTGGTTCATGTGTTCTCCACAGCAGAAGGACTGTTGACCCAGAATGACAAGGTCACTGCTGACGGGTTCCAGGAGGTGTTTGAAACCAATCTCTTTGGCCACTTTATCCTGGTAAAAAGGCTTGGGTCATACTAATTCCATACTTATTACTGTGATTCTGAGGGCATGCATGGATGCACGACTGTTTTGTGAAGCTCCTTAGTTTATGGTTAGCATTAAATCTTTGAGTGTTTAAATCCGATCAATGGCCTCAGAATAGAGAACGGAGGAGGTGGATTGCCAGACACCCAGTCACCTTTGGAAACAATGTACATACACAGCAGAAAAAGAACATTAGTTCTGTTCTAATGAGTTCTACAGACTGGGCTTGGCTTCAGATGGCCTGGGATAGTGAGCATGCTGTCAGTAGACACAGATTTGACTTATCTTGGTTTCTTCTTAAGTGCCCATACTCGGAAGGACAGTTCTAGGCATTTATAGTGGATTCAGCATGAGATGTGTGACTTATCTAGTGTGTTCGGTGATGTTGCCTCTGGCTCACTCTGTGGCACAGCTTTCACAGTAATTGAGAAGTGATGGCTCACACCTGTATCCCAACACGTAGGCGGAGGTAGGATAGCTGCAAATTGAGGCCATCTGGGGCTACAGTGTGAGCCCCTTTCTCAAAACAAGCCAACAAATAAACAGTATTAAAATAAAAAAGTGGTAATGATAGAGAATTCATTCATTAATAATATTGATAGTCTTACGTTTTGATGAATCTACTGTTTATAGAGTTAAATTGTTAGGAAAGCAAATGAGAGCTGTGGTCATGGGGCGGTTATCACAGGTGTCCTAGTATGTCTTTAGGTAAGGCAGACATGTCATTAGGGGTGTCAGAACCCACTTACCACATAAAATGATTCTACAGCCGTGATTGCAATGCCTTCTACTTCAGTTAGGTTTAGGAATCTGACCACAGTTCATGAAACACAAACTTGAATTCAGGGTTCATGTGTAATTGAACAAACAGATCCATCACTACTTTGATTTAGCATATAAAAATAATGACCAGACAGTAATGGTCGTTATAAAGAGTGGGGATTCTTTTTGTGAGCTCCAGATTGAGTGAGGTATTGTTGCTTAGGAGTGGATGACTGACTTGGTTTCATATATGGGGACTTTTCCTGATTGAGTTTGACTTATTTGTCCGCTGCGACATGGGGCACATCTGGAAGCTATGCTGGTAGATTTTTCTTTAATGAACTAATGTTTTCCAATAGTTGTAGATTTACCAAACCTTTGCAAAGATAGTACAGAAAGTTCTTGTACATCCTGTATTCAGTTTCTTCTTTCATTAGCCTTTTATATCAGTATGGTACATTTGTCAAAATACATGATGCAGTACTGATATGTTATTAAGTAAAGTCTATACTAACTTAAGTTGCCAGTTTTCTGAAGTCTCATTATCAGCTCTGGGATTCAATCCAGGGCACCACATTGCATTTAATAGTCAAGGCTGCTTAGGTTCTTTGTTGTGGGAATTTCACAGACTTGCCTTGTTTTTGATGACCTTGACAGTTCTTGAGCTTGCTACCCAGGCTTTTCACAGACTGTCTCTCATTTAGATTTCTCTGATGTTTGTCTTGTGGTTTGACTGCAGAATGTTTTTGGCAAGACTGTCTATATTAAATGCCTTTCTCATTACCTCATATCAAGAGTACATATTCCAAGGCAAGGCATGTTTGGCACATGCTTATAATCCCAGCACTTGGGAGACGGAGGCAGGAAGATTGAGAGTTCAGAGCCAGCCTGTGCTACACAGTGCATAGTGTAGAGCGTAGTGAGAGCCTGGCTCAGAATGATGACGACAGCAGTTTATGACCTTCCCAGGTTGACCTTGATCACCTGGCTTGAGGTGGCTTGTCAGGCTTCTCTACTGTGAAGTCATGCTTCCTTCTCCATAGGAAGAAGAAAGTTACTGGGTGTAACCCACACCGAAGGAGTTGAACTTCAATTTCTTAAAGATGGATTATCTACAGAAATTGTTTGGAATTTTTCTTTCAGGAAAATTTCTCTCTTCTTTTTTTTAAAATATTCAATTAATTTTGTATTCATGTAGACTCATGGTTATATATTTTCTACATCAGAGTTTTTCATTTAAAATATTTGTCAGCTGAGTGGTGGTGGTGGTGGTGCATGCTTTTAATCCCAGCACTCAGGAGATAGAGGCAGGCGAATCTCTGTGAGTCTTTGAGTTTGAGGCCAGCCTGGTCTATAGAGCAAGTTCTAGGATAGCTAGGGTGCTGTGGAATGTTCTGTATGGCAAATGTGTTGCTAATTAGTTAATAAATAAAACACTGATTGGCCATTGGCTAGGCAGGAAGTGTAGGCGGGACAAGGAGGAGAATAAAGCTGGGAAGTGGAAGGCTGAGTCAGAGAGACACTGCCAGCCGCCACGATGAGAAACAGCATGTGAAGATGCCGGTAAGCCACGAGCCATGTGGCAAGGTATAGATTTATGGAAATGGATTAATTTAAGCTGTAAGAACAGTTAGCAAGAAGCCTGCCACGGCCATACAGTTTGAAACCAATATAAGTCTCTGTGTTTACTTGGTCGGGTTTGAGAGGCTGTGGGACTGGCAGGTGAGAGAGATTTGTTCTGACTGTGGGCCAGGCAGGAAAACTTAAGCTACACCAGGGCTACACACAGAAACCCTGTCTCTGGAAAAAAAAAAATTTCTCTCTTTAGTTTCTGTAACATATACTACTTTTAAATATGGCGTGGAATGGTGATTAGATGTATTTATATGATTAACCCTACAAGTTTTTCTTGTTTTTCTTCTTTCGTTTTATTATGTAACCAAGATAAAGTTATTAGAAATGAAGATCTGGTGCTTGTTGCTACTGAGATATGAATAGCTCTAGGCCCTCTCAGCTAATAAACCAAGGAGATAAATGTGTGTTTACAAACTCACGGGTGTATGCATAGCTGTACATGGATGTAGCCAATCCCACATGAGGAAATACTGATGTCTCCAACCCTAATTCATTGCTGTCTGTAATCCTCTTAGCTTCTTCCTCTTGCAACAACAAGAAACCTGTTTCTTGCCGCCATATCCCCATCCATTTACTGTTGAATTCCAGTATACATACGCGATAGTTTTACATTGTTAGCATACACCGCTCAGTGGATTGTGATGCCTTTTATTCTGTGTCTTCTTCACTCAGATTCGGGAATTGGAACCTCTTCTCTGCCACACAGACAGCCCCTCTCAGCTCATCTGGACCTCCTCTCGCAATGCAATGAAATCTAACTTCAGTCTTGAGGACATCCAGCACACCAAAGGCCAGGAACCCTACAGTTCTTCCAAATACGCCACCGACCTCCTGAACGTGGCTTTGAACAGGAATTTCAACCAGAAGGCAAGGCCTATCTCAAGATACAGAAGCTAACCATCAGAGTCGCAATTTCTAGAGCAAGGCTGACTTCCGCTTACTTTCGTAACAAAAGCCCTAGGGGAGAGATAAACAGCTCCGGTCCTTTTAGGAATATGCAGTTGATTTACTGTTCTGCGTTCTTCAGGAACTCTGCCCTCTGCTGACAGCAGCCCCTGACTAAGTACTACCGGTGCTGTACTCCTCCTGTATATGTCGTTGAGTGTCTTTCCCCACTGCAGCTGGGTAGCTCTTACTATTCCAGTTTTCAGATGAGAACTCTCAAAGGTCACATGACTCGTGAATGGCAGCGCTTACCGTGGAGTGCAGGGCTGGCTGACTTTTCCCTACTAAGCCTCATGCCTTTTAGTCTCTGTCATGCCAATGATTAAAAAGCAACCAGATGTTATAAACCTTCTGGAAGATGATGATAAGACTCCATAGCTCTGTTTCTGTAAGGATACAGATTGAGGAGGGTGTTATAAAGGGGAAACTAACCCTTATCAGTCATGCTGGCTCCTACTGACCATGGTCACCTGCAAGTCACTGCTGCTGTGTAGTAACTGATTGCCCAGGTCCAAAATCCTAACAGGAATTCTTGTCTTTCCCATGGGCACTTTCTGGTTGTCATTACAGCTTGGAGGCAGTGTGTTAGTCCAACTGTAAGTTTCCTTCTAACATTTTTGAGATGTTTAAAACCTGTCGCAGCTGCTTCCAAGTCCTGTCGACACTCCCTTTTTAGAAGGCAGGGTCAAGCTAAAGTTGTTCTATGTTCCATAAAAAACTCTGGGATTTTATTTACATTTTAGTTGTCAAGTAAGGTGTGGGATTTTATCTTTTTAAAAAGAGAGTGAGAGCAATTAAGCTGATGCAGCTCTGTCTTAAAGTCTTCTAGAATTTGTTTTCAGCCCATGATTTTTCTTTCTTGGCATTCCCAAGAAAGAATTAGAAAGAGTTACATTGTGGGATTCCATTTGAAGCCTTTCTAATGATATTTTCCATACTTTTGGTTTTACTTTTTCAACAAATTAATCATTGTTTTAGTTTTTTTGGTGCTGGGGATGAAACCTAGGGCTTTGCGCATGGTGCCGTACCATGTGAACTATGACCTCAGCTCTCCAGTTATGGGTTTCCGTCTTCTCTCTCTGTCTCCCTGTCCTTCTTCAACATCTTGTGTATCCCAGGCCGGCCTCAGACTTGGTGTATAGCTGGTGATGGTGCACACCACTACACCTGATTTTACTCATGCTAGGCAAGCATTCCATCAGCTGAGCCACAACCCCAGAGCAACCTAGCTCCCGTGTTTGGAGACAGGGTGTCACTGTGTAACTCTGACTGGCCTTGGACTGTTATGTAGTTTAGGTGAGCCTCAAATTCAAAATTCTGCCCCTCTCCAAGGGCTAGGATTACAGGAGTGAGCTACTCTGTATGGCCATTTCCTACTTTTTATTTAAAAGGAAAAAAAGAGAGTAAGAAAGCAAAAGTAGCAAGAATGAGTTAGAATGGTCACTCTAAGAGTAATAAAAAATGTAGCAAAATTAATTCACAGCTGTAGGGCTTAATATGGTTGGCACAGGGTAATTCTTATGACCACAATCTCTGTGTTGAGACTTTCTTTATAGAGCCACATATATTGGCATTTATATACATAAATGCCAACACACACATACACACACACACACACACACACACACACACACACACACACACACACACACGTATATGATAGGTCCTTACACAATGACCAGTCCTTCATTAAGGACCTGGCTAGAGATCTTGAGTTGAAGATCTTTGTTTCTCCTGATGCTGAGAGCGTCCAACTCAACTGTGTTCCTCTAGACTAGTGGTTCTCAACCTTCCTAACGCTGAGACCCCTTTAATACAGTTCCTCATGTCATGATGACCCCCAACCATAAAATTATTTTCGTTGCTACTTCATAACTGTGATTTTGCTACTGTTATGAATCGTAATATAAATATTTTTGGAGATAAAGGTTTACCATGGGGTTGCAACGCACAGATTGAGAACCTCTGCTATAGAGAAACAGCGTATATTTTAAATTAGCCACTGTATTTAATGAATTAGAAGCTAATTGAAGACAGGAATTAAACTCAGTAAACTTGTTATATACTTATTGGGATTGATGAATTGAGCTTTAATTAAGCCAATAATAGAAAATCTTGGTAATCAGGCCCCACTTTCCTTTCCCATCGTCAAGATTGGCTGTTCTTTAAACTATAAATTTCTTGAGAATAGACTTCACCTTGCTAACTTTTGCTCCTGGTCCTAGTAAGTGATTTTAGACTTAAATGGTCCTACTAAGCAACAAGGATAACTGCAGTGGAAACTTGCCATCCTCTGGTTTTCCCGGCTCATATGTGTGTGTCTTTTATTACTGAGCGTCCCTGAACTGAGTCACTATGCATCAAATTAAAATCTTAGTGTGACTCTCCTCTGTGCCCCCAGGGTCTGTATTCCAGTGTGATGTGCCCAGGGGTGGTAATGACCAACCTGACATACGGAATTCTGCCTCCCTTTGTGTGGACATTGCTCCTGCCGCTGATGTGGCTGGTAAGTGGAGAACACTTATTTTTTTTTTAATTCAGAGTTATGAAATATTAAGAATTCAACTCTTAAGTGGCAGACTTCCATTTGACTTGTTTTTGATAATGCTGTAATCATAAATGCAAATTTTCTTTCTTAAATTTAAGTGAAAAAAAATGTCCTTTTTGCTGCTGCTCTCAACAGCCCCCTAACACCTGTTGTTTTCTCTCGGTCAGATTCGCTTTTTTACAAACGCTTTCACTTTGACGCCGTACAATGGAGCCGAAGCACTGGTACGTACGTACGTTACTGGAGGTTCGTAGCCTATAAAATGGCTTAGTGATAGAAGGGCTAAGTTCACTGATGCCAGTGAGCAGTGTCAGGGTCCACGGCTCTAAGGCCGTGGTTCTCAACTTCTGAGTCGCGACTCCTTTGGGATCTAATGACCCTTTCACAGGCGTCACATGTCAGATATCCTGCACAGCGGATATTTGCTTTACAATTTATAACAGTAGCAAAATTTCAGTTAGAAGTAGCAACAAAATAATTGTCTGGTTGGAGGTCACCACAACATGAGGAACTGTATTAAAGGCTCGCAGCGTTAGGAAGGTTGAGGGCCGCTGGTATAGAGGAACAAGCTCTGTGGACAAGCAAGTTCCGTTTGGGACTAAGGTAGGTATCGTCTTACAAACAAGATATCAGAAGTTTGACATTTAGCATCTGCTGGGATGTTGGGTACCATGACTATAGAAAACACACTTCCGTAGAAGCAAGATGCATCAGGAGATGCAGGGAAGGTGGCAGGACACTGTAGAGTCAGTTAAAGCAAGGCAGTGATTGGTGAATGATTTCCCATGGGGAGGTGTGTCTTGTGGGACAAACAGGGCAATAAGCCCTATTGTCTTATGTAAAGATTTTTCTTCCTGGAGCCGGAGAGGTGGCTCCGTGGTTAAGAACACTTGTTCTTGTAGATGACCCAGTTTGATTCTCCAGCTTCAGGAGATCCAACACCCTTTTCTGACCTCCACAGGCACCTGGTATGCACATGGTACAGACATACTTGCACAAAACACACACATAAAATAAATCTAAAGAAAAAAGGTAAAGATTCTTCTTCTTCTTCCCTTGGTACTGGAGAATCAAGGATCAAGGTACAAGAGGATCTTACTAGGAAAATAGGATTTCCTTGAATGATGTCTGACAGTTCGCTGTGTGTGTTTCCTCATCCATGGCAGGCATCACTAATGAGCTACACTTCTATTTTCCTCTGTGTGTACACTAGTAATGCCTTTCCTCAGCGCCCCAGAGCTCCATAGACCTCTATTTATGGGTCAGAATTCTCGTCCAAGAAGAGACTTGCCATCTGTTCTTCATGCCAGCTGCTTGGAATCCTGTTGTCTTAGTTCGGAAGGGTGGTACTCAAGTCACTTAGTCAGAACTTTTATCCTAGAAACCTGAGGGCTAGTACTGTGCTATCCAGGCTCGACCACTTCTTAAATCTTGACCAAATTGAGTTTGAGGGAAACATGAAGGGAATGATAAGCATTAGAGAATCAAGTACTTTTCTGTGTAGACACAAATTGATTATGAAGACAAGTGCTTTTAGACTGTATTGGTGTAGTTACCAAGATATAAGAAGTGTGAATGTGTAGTCCTTTAGGGATTTCTCATTCTGCACATGTATGGTGTGAAAAGTCTTGTCTTGGGGTCACATATATATTGAGCATCAATGGTGGATTATGTTTTGAAGAGAAAAATCCTCTGTTACTAAGTAGCTTAGAGTTATGTTTAGAAAAGTAATGAATCCATAAGGTAGGCAAGAAAACAGGACATCTTTTTATTGGGTGGGGAATGTTGGGACCCATTGGGGCTGCCGTAGTTAGAGCTGACTTTGACTAGAGTGGAACTAGATCTATGCTCTGAGGGACCAGGCGATTCAGATAGGATGAACGCCATGATCCTCTTGTCATAGTTCAAAAACTTCATTGTGAAGGGCTGGAGAAATAGCTCAGTGGTTAATAGTATTTGCTGCTCTAGTTGAGGACCATGGTTCTGTTCCCAGCACCCTTATGGCAGCTCACAACTATCTGTAGCTCCACTTCCAAGGGTTCTTTCTAATGCCTCTTTAGGCATATACATACATGCAGGAAAAACACCCATAGACTACAAATAAATGTTAAAACAAAATCCATGGTGGTCTTGCTATAATTTTCTAAAATGTAGGTGAGTAGAAGGGGATCACCCTAAACGTCACCCACTGATGTCTGGAGATGTTGGTAGGGGCGGGTGGGATGGTAGCACATCGTGTGAGCACTTAGGATCTCTTTCAATCTCAGTAAGTTTTGCTCCTCAGGAGGGGAGTGTGAACTTGAGCTAAGGCACAGGCCAAGCATGATAGTTACCATTCAAATCCAAGTTCTCCAGTTCCTGGCTTGGAACCCTTGAGCATGTTTTTTACCCATCTAGACTTTTATTTTATATACAGTAAGATCAGAGCAGTAAATGGAAGCAGGTGTGTGGTGATATTTTATTTGTGCTGAAATGTGATATTTTATTTGTATGTTAATAAATAAAGTTTGACTGGAGATCAGAGGTCATAGTGAGCCATAAACAGAAGTCAGGCGGTGGTAGCACACGCCCTTAATCTGATCACATGGCAGGCAGAGTCTCTTCATGGTCAAAGACACAGCCAAGCGTGGTGACCCACACCTTTAATCCCAGTACCAACCATAGAGACCTGGAGGTCTGTATAGACAGGCAGTGACAGGAAGTGATGTGGCTGGGCTCAGAGCCAGTGAGAAGGCAGAACAGAAAAGCAATAAAAGCACAGGTTAGACAGGAAGAAGCTCTCTCTTGGGAAGCCACAGAGTGGTGGTGAGCTAAGGTTGGTCTGTGACTCTTCGCTATTTCTCTGATCTCTTCGGCTCTTACCCCTGTATTTGGCTCTGTGTTTCTTATTTAATAAGACTGTTTAGAAATTCCTCTACACAGGGGCATTGCAGAGGACTCATGCTATTTCAGATTTTAAAAGAAGGTTTTAATCAACAACAGATACAATCTGATGTTTCAATGGGGCAGAATAGAAAGTTTAGAAATTGACCCATAAACACACAGAGATTTAGTGTATAATAATGACCAGAGGTAGAGGGAAAAGATGGGCTTTTTCAGCAAGGTTGTAGCCAAAAGGGAGTTTATGATCTTTATTTCATGCCTTCCACCAAAATAATATTCTAGATAGTTAAAGAGGTTTATATGTCAAAATTAAAATAAAAAATTCTTAGTAGAAATCATGGGGAATTTATGTGAAGTTTCAGAGTGTGAAGGCTTATCTAAATGTGGAAACTCTAATAAAAGAGTGGAAATCAAAATAAAATTAGCATGATCCCAGAGTCCACTATAAAGGAAGTACGAGGTAGAACACAAACATCTGTCTTAGACAAAGGTAGATATTTTCTTAGTTAATCAAGAATCCCAGTGAAGGGAAGGCAGCTCTTGTTGGAATTACAGGCAAAAGACAGACACAAAGATTCTGAACATTTTCAGTCTTGTGAAAAGATGCTTGGTCACACTGATGCTAAGAGAAGTGTATATTAAATCTATAATTCCGAGCTCAGCTCAGATTAGCAAAGAGTAGGACATTTGATACAGGCCTGTGGTGGCTGATGATAAGGGCATGAGAACACTGCATCGCAGCTTCTGTGAAGACTCACGGCAAGATGAGTCAGATCGTAAGGCACGCACGCCCCTTCACCAAGAACTTCCATTTATGGCATTACTTTTATAGATGTACTCAACATCCATCATGGTTTAGTTTGTATTCATAAAGACCGCAGTCTACTGCATATGTCTTTCAATTAAAAGCTGAACATATAAATTACAGCCTGTGCCCAAGATGGGATTCTGTACTTTAAAAACAAATGAAACAGCTCAGTGTACACAGGTTTGAAAATTTGTGATGGTCAAGTGAAAACTTCTGGGTGTTATGCTTCCGTTTTAGAGAGAAAGATATGTGTTTCTAAATGCAGAGATAGTTCTTTGCATGCCCACACATGGTAGAAGAGTGGGTTACTCCCAGAGATGTAAGCTACGTTGTTGCAAAATCGGAAAGGGACGAAGACCTCCTTTTTTTTTTTTTTTTTTTTGGTTTTTCGAGACAGGGTTTCTCTGTGTAGCTTTGCGCCTTTCCTGGAACTCGCTTTGGAGACCAGGCTGGCCTCGAACTCACAGAGATCCGCCTGCCGAGTGCTGGGATTAAAGGCGTGCGCCACCACCGCCCGGCTAAGACCTCCTTTTTATACTGTGTACATCTTCTAGACATAATGCATCTTCTCACTGGTAAAATATCCCAGCGAGCTGTGCTTGGTTGTGGTGTGTGCCAAGAATGATACTTAATAAGCCAGTGTCTGAGACATGAATTTATATGGGAATTGAGGGAGAAGACGACAGGAGAAGTGAGGGGTGTTTTGTTCCTTGCTTAGACTATCTCTCACGGTCTGTGTGGAGCACGCTGTCTTCTATTCTCCCTTCAAAAGATGACAGCAGTTTCCAGAGATGCTGAAATTAGCTGGTACTTTCTGGGCCGAATCTTGCGATTTCATGGGGGAGCTCTGTAAAGTACTGACGGCAAATCTCACTTGCTTGGGGCAGGAGCATTCTCCCTGACATGCTTTTCCTTCCCAGGTGTGGCTTTTTCACCAAAAACCCGAGTCTCTCAATCCTCTGACCAAATACCTGAGCTTCACCACAGGCTTCGGGACTAATTACGTCAAGGGCCAAAAGGTAAGTCTGTTTATGTTGTCCAGTTCTGAGGCTCTGGGCCTGTGAAACTGATCAGTCAGCCGCCCATCTTGTGTGCCCGAGTCTTCACTCTGGCGTGGTCGTGGTCTGTTTTATTGCTTTCTGCTTCCTCCTGTGTCAGAGCTTTGGCCATCTTCTTCCTGCTAAGCCGCTCTTACCTGTGTTCCTGTTGATGTCCGTTCATCCTTCCGGCCTCACGTTCTCAACCTCTCTCTTTAGACCAGGTCCTGTGTCCTGCTGTGGGATTTCTCATACCTGTTCTGTGTAGCACTCACCCTCAGCTGCCCCTGTCAGCATAGAAGCTTTTTGTGAGGGATTGTACCTGCTTCCCTAGTGTGCTGCCTCACGTGGAGACTTAATAAATACATCGTGAGTTGTGTGGAACATAGAGTGTCTTTCAATGCTACATTAACATTTCTTGGAATGTGCATTCTGTTTCAGATTATTATAAGCATTGTCAGACAGATGTTTTGAAGAGACAAGGGGTAGAATAGGGAAAATCAAATTGATATTTCGTCTTTTGGATTCGAATCTTAAGAGAAATCATATAAAATTGCATGGCAGGGGAGTGGGAACATTTACTTGGGACTGTAAGAACATGCTGTAGCTTTGTCACAGGCAAGGGTAATGTAGCGTCCTGCTTTTCTCTGCCCAATTACTGAGGATGCAGTGGTATAAAATACAACTAGTTTGAAGCAAGTAAGTGACCTCTGTCAGCTTGGCAGCAGCCTGAGTCCAGTGACAGCCAGCCTTGTGGGTTGCTGCCCATGTCACCTGCTAGTAAAAAACAGCCTTTCATATTTTTGGAAACATGTTGTGTTGGATGCTAGTGACTTGAGAACATTTTCGAGACATGGTCCTTCAGGCAGGTAGAGTTGAACGATCCTTCCTGTTGTCTTCCCATGCTGGGTTCCCCACAGTGTGTTAGCCCAGGAATGGCTTTGAGATGTTGAAACCGTTAAGCGATAGAGAGGTGACATGGTTGATCTTGGGATTTACAAATTGTTCTTAAAATGCATGAATCGTTTATTTGTTGTTGTTTTTGTTTTGTGTTAAGACAGGTTCTCACCATGTAACTCTGGCTGGCCTGGAACTCTGTCTTAGTTAGGGTTTCTGTTCTGAGATAAAACACCATGACAGAAGCGACTTGTGGAGGAAAGGGCTTGTTTAAGCCTCCTACACTTGCATGTCACAGTCCATCGTTGAGAGAAGCCAGGGCAGGAGCCTGGAGTCAGGCACCGAACGAAGCACAGGCCGTGGAGGAACGCTGCTTACTGGCTTGCTCCCTCCCCATGGCTTGCTCACTTTGCTTTCTGAAGATAGCACGCAGGACCATCATCCCAGAGATGGCACTGCCCACAGTGAGCAGGGTTCTCCCACATTACTCATTGACCAAGAAAATGTACCACAGGCTTGCTCACAGGCCAGTCTCATGGGATTATTTTCCTCAATTGAGGTTCCCCCTTCCAAAATGACTGTAGCTTGTGTCAAGATGATATAACATTAGCCAGCACAAACTGGTTGTTTAACAAGGCTGGCCTGCAGAGGTGGATCACAGGGATCGGCCTGCCTCTGCCTTCTGAGTTCTGAGAGTCAAGATAAACACCACCATGCTCCATGCTCTGAGTTTTTGTTCTTGTTTTTTAAACTCAAATTTGGATTAACTCACAATCCTTACCATCTAAAAACGATACATTTTGGGAAACTCTGTTGCAATTTAATAAGCTCACAGTAGGGCTTTCAGGGTTTATGTAAATTTGCTATCTTATAACCTTATAGGGAGTGATTTACTTATCAAGGGGAGACAATGTTTAATTTTACAAACCCAGGTATTTCATATAATTTTTCTAAGAAATGCATTGAAGAAAGTATTTTAGCCTTTGGTTCATTTGGGGGAAACCTGCTTTCCCCTCTGTTAAGGATGGGGAAGTAGTGGCTGCTGATAGATCTTGGAAGACGGGGAGTCATTGTCTTCAGTGTGTTCATTGGTGAGCGCTCCCTGCTGCAGTGGACCTCCTCAGACATGCACGTGTGGACCACCCTGGTTAGAGCCAGTGTGCCACAACACAAAGGCAGAACGGGAGGAAGCAGGAAGACTGAGGAGTGGGGGTGGGGAGTGAGGGGGATAAGACAGGAAGAGAGGGTGGGGATGAATGTAATAAGAATGCAGAATCGTCAAGGAATAAATAAATTTAGTTTAAGAAACAAAGGCGAGATTGAACAGGAGAGATCTGTAACATTTCCAATTTCAAAACACAGAACTAACAGAATTCAATGAGGATAGATGTTAGGTCCAAAACGTTAAAAAGTACCCTTAATCCTTAGCCTTTCAGTTGTAAGAAGATTCTAGTTTGCTGACTTGGAAAAAAGAGAGCCTGACTGTAGGAGCTGAAAGGTGGTTCTTATCATCAGTTTAAAGTAAGATTTTCTGCAGGAAGAACAAGAATGCAAAATAACAGTGACTTAAGACAACCTCCTATTTCTTGCACACAGAAGCACTTTAGGTGTAGATGAGCATCTATAGAAATTCGGACTCTTGATTTCCTTTCTCCCCTTTTCCTTTAGAAGTTGGTTGGGTACTAGGAGACTCGCATTTCATATCTTTACAAGCAGTGGGAGGTTTGGGGAGTGCTGAGTTTACATGAGCATTTATGCCCTCAGTTTCTCTAGTATTTCCAGCTGTCCCCGAACGGCCCTCTCTGCCCCTTCCTAGCTTCCGGTTCTCTTACACACATGGACGCCCTCACTTTGCTTTCACGCAGCTTTTTTTATTTTTCTTTTGCAGACATCTCTCTTTGTGCTTGTTTTCCAGATGGACATAGATGAAGACACCGCTGAAAAATTTTATCAAAACTTACTGGACCTGGAAAAACGTGTTAGGATCACCATTGAAAAATCCGATCACCCCAGCTGATGGCGACATTCTCCAGAGCATCCCATATCTTCTGTAAATCCCGGCCGGGCACGTGGCTTTCCATTGTGCATTTGTAGTAAACCACAAGCTGTGATGATCTCTGCTCCCATCTTTCAGAATGATCTCCAAGACTCCGTGTGTGCATGTGTGCAGGCGTGTACACACATGTAGAAAGGATTGGCAAAGTAGAGGAACCAAGTCAATCCCCTCCAGGGTAGTGTCCTTTTGGATTTGCTAGGGGCTCTCTGCATCCACTGTTCTACTGGCCACTGGGAGGCCAGTAGATCATTCTTGAGTGATTGGGACACGGGTACAGCCTGAACCTCCTTTCAGTCCCAGCGATGTGGGACAAGGCCACTGAGTAGTCATTCCAGCTCCTTGTCTTTTCTCTGTGAACATTTTCCTACTCTCTTTATTCACTTCTTCACGTGCTGCTTCCGGATAATCTTATCAGATCATCTGTCTGAGCGGTCCCCACGTGACTGCACACAGTGAATCTCAGGAACCAAGTGTGAGTATGTTTGGGCCACGTGTGTTATTTCTTCTCTGTAAAAACATTCTGTTTTTATCAGGTAGTAGAGCCAACAGCCTGGTCTTTAGTAGTGTCTGCAGATGTACTCATGAACATCTTATCTTCATGACCATATTTCACTGGAACTAAAAGTATAGCAGAAAATTATTTATTCGTGTTTCAAAAAAGTGTAAAAAAATAAACAAACTGAGAAACTGCTACTAGGCCGTCCGCTGGCACCTGGAGCACAATGGAATAGAAGGAAACTGTTCATTTTTATGTGTTGGGTGATGAGTTTTTCAAACCTTTTCTCTAAAACTTAAAGAGCTACACCTGAGCATCCTTTGGTATGAATCAACATGCTAACGATGACTGAATATTTTTTTTTATCATAAATAAAGCCATCCTATCACTTGGGATATAATAAAGTCAGTAAAATTTTGAATAAAAGTCCAAAAGATGATACATAATTTCCCTACAGCTTGTGCTATGAAAATTTTCTGATTAGAATTTCCCTCCTTTTGCTGACCAAGATGTTTTTGTAAAGATAACAGGCGAGAGTGAGTCTGCACACCGCCCAACTCCCCGCATCCTTGGGTAACGAGGGTGGAGCTTAGCATGGGGCTGTCCTTTCTTCTTTATCTCCTCAGAACCCCCGTTTGGAAAAGGCTGCTTCTCCCTGGTGAACTCACATTTCTCATGTGTAAACGGAAACCCCTTTGCCCTGTTGCTCACGGGTTTGCAGTGAAGAGGGGATCGACGATCTGTGTGGACCGTGGACGTCCCTCATTGGTAGAGAATGATGAGGTTCATTACAGATCAGACACCCAGAAGGCCGAGGTCCAGATACTGCCATGTAAGGCACCGGCTGCCCACGGCCCTTTTGACAGGTAGTTGGTTTTGTTCGCTGAGCATTTCCAGGAGACTGTGGAGCACTGCAGGGTGGAATTGGGGAGTTATGGGCCCTAGGTCTGGGTAGTCATAATCTAGACTGTTCTTGAGAGAGTGGAATAGCGTGGGTTTTGGTTATTTGTGAGTTTGGAAAAACATGTCCTTTTCCGGGGTTGCCAACTTTGGAGCATCAAGTTATTCTTAGAATTTCTGTTTGCTGGCTACGTTAGTAATTCCCTCGATTTTATTCTTGATGCTGATATCTTTTCATTGTCAGCCATGCAGGGCTTTTTCCATTTGCTGGGGTTTTCAGAGAGCCATGTTTCCGCCTCACTGATTTTTTTTTTCTCCCCAGTTGCTTATATATTTTCCATAGAGATTTTAGCTCTGCATGTTTTATTTATCTCCTTTCTGCTTTCATTGGGTTAAAATAAACCATTTTTCCTGTTTCTTGACATAAAAACTTAGGTTACTTATTTAGGAATTTTTCTTCCTGGCTGGTGTAAGCATTTAATTATAAGCATTTACTGACATAAACGTCCCTCGCAGCCCGGTTTAACCGCATCCCTTGTTTGCTGACATACTGCCTCGCTGTCATTTCATCCTTTTAGCCCTAGATTATTTTATTAATTTCTGTTGAGGTTTCCTTTTATGAATTATTAAAAGTGTTATTTAATGTTTATATTTTTAGATGGAACTTCACTGGGCAGATGGCTCAGTGGTTGAGAGTACTGGCTGCTCTTCCTGAGGACACAGGTTCGATTCCCTGCACCACACGGTGGCTCACGAACATAGAACTCCAGTTCTGGGAGATCCAGTGCCCTCTTCTGGCCTCCATGTATACCAGACATGCATGTGACACATAGGCATACAGGCAGACAAAGCACCTATACACATAAAATAATAATTCTTTTAAAAGTTGGTACTGGCTTCCAGGTATAGTCTGTTGGGATTTTCTAGTCTCATGTTGCTATAGTCAGAATACATGGAGTCCTATTTCTGTATTAAATTTTTTGAGCTGTAGTTATGGTCCAGGACCTGTTCTACCTGGAGCGTTCTGTGGACTTTCCTTCACACCATGCCTGCTCACATCTCTTTGGAACACTGGAGTTGCTCTCTGTACGGAGTTCATGGTTGCTTTTCTGGCAGGTGTTGTGTGGGAGGGCCACCCCGCTCCGTTGAAAACAGTGTTTCTCATCTTTACATCAGCTTTCGTTTCTGTTATAATTTTACTCTTCTAGTTCTTTCCTGTGTTCAGTCAGTTTTTCTTGTTCTGTGTCCATTTCTGGTTTTAGTTTCAAAATTTTGATTCATTTTATTCTTAATTAATTTATTTATTTTGCATGCTTGGGTGTATTGAGTTCAGGGCTATCTTCTCTCTTGTGGTTGATTCCCTGGGCAGGAATGCTGTGGATAGTAGTTGTCAACAGACACTTTTATTTATTCGTTTTTATTTTGTTCTTGTCACTCCTCAGTGAGGTCTTTGATAGTTAGTTGACTCTTAAATTTCATCATGTCCCTCAAGTTTTACCATCCTTATCAGTCTTTTGAAAAACAAAACAAAACATTTAATTGAGGGCTAAAAAGATGGCTCATCACTTAAGAGCTCTGACTGCTCTCCCAGAGGACCCAGGTTCACTTCCCAGCACACACACGGTGGCTTACAATTTTCTCAAGTTCCAGGGGACCTAGTGTTCTCTTTTGGCCTCTGTGGGCACCAGACACACAAGTGGTGCATAGGAATACATGCAGGTAAAACGCTCATACACATAATAAAAATCAAAATCAGTCTTAAAGAATCAAAAACCAAAAAACATTAATTTAGGGGAAAAGAGTAAAGTTGTGATAAAGCTCAAATCTGTGCATATTACCAAATGCTGTCCTTCTTACCCTAAAAGCCTCCTGATAGACATCTAGAAGCAGGCTGCTGCCCGGCTTCCTTTTCCTGCTCCTCTCCAAGCTAGCCTGGATGGAGTGCAGCCTCCCGTCTGACCTGTAGGATCCTAGCCACTTTTGAGGCCTCTGCTCTGAGGGACATATACCAGCGTTGGATTACTTTTGTTTTCCTTGTGTTGGTAGAGGGTGCATTAGAAATTACCTACTTTTGTGTCAAGCTGTGTGTTTATGAATCTTACCATTTCTTGTTTGATTTCCAACCTTTGATTATAAGAGGTATTATCCATGTAATAAAAAAAAGAAGCTCTTGCCTAAAAATCATGTATTTATCTAAAATTTGTACTTGTTTCTCTTGTTTATTGTCCTTTGACATACCAAAGGATCAGCTCCAAGACCAGCTGTTGTTACTCATTGTATTTCAAGCATTCAATGGCTGACATTTACTAGGCTCTTGATAAATATGTGAACAGTTGTTTGAACAAGTATTTATTTGAATAAAAGTATCATGCTAAAACCAAGAGGTTTTAGGCTTAGTTGACTTTATTATGCCAAAATTTTAAAAAGCTATAATTTATCTTAATTTGGAATAATATTTAGAATACCAAGCTAGAGTTTACTGAGGCTCTGTTATTATTTTCTAATCTTAGAACATTATGTTATACTAATAAATATGCTTCCTTCTCACACACATCATTATTATCTGTACTTGCAAGTTAGTGCTTGAAGAACAATTTGACAGTGTTTATCACAAGTTAAAGTGCATGTGCTTTTAGCAATTCAGCATTTCTAAATTTATCCTGAAGATATAACTCAAATACATACAAAGCGTCAGGGTTACTGTCACCTATTGGAAATTCTTGGTGCTAAATATGCTTCAAAAATTCAAATTGCTTGTACTTTGGAAGGATAAGTTGGTGCACACACTACAGTGTTTTGTAACAGCCCGAGAGGGAGTTGGGATAACAACCTATAATCAAAGCCAGTTGTACGTCAGCGAAAAAGATGCATGAATTCACAGTAAAGCACCATAAAAGCTATAAATAGCCTCACACCAGCTCAGCTAGAGTTTAGCTGCCAAAGGAGTATGCCAAACATTTGAAAGATGTCCAGCATTTCTAAGCTGTTTGGCCTTTGGAAGTACAGGTGAGGGACTTTAGACCAACAGGACAGTGTTCTCTGCAGATCTTTTTCCAGGCACAGCAGCAGAATACAAAGAATTTAAGCATGTTTATCCAGTCTTTAGGGTGCTGGACAAAGAATGATGTCATTTCCATAAAATACACTAAAAGTAACAGTGTTATAAAATAGTCTTTTAAAAAGGGATGAGGTAGGTCTATATGAATTGTGAGTTAAATGAGTAAACCAGATACTGTAGAAGTTGGGGAGGTCTTTGTCCTCAGAGACAAGCACCAGGGGAACCTGGAATGTTATGCATACAGGGTTGTTCCTTTAAAGGGAGGGATGCATAACTTGTTAACCCCCCAGGAGGCTGGGGGTGGACCTGCTGAATAACCTGGTGACTGTGTGGTGGAGACCACGCTGGATCTCCCCCTCACCCTTATCATAAGCTTGTTTTTCTTAGTTAATCTACAGAACTTGTCTTTATGGAAGGTGTCACATGTACTTTACAAAGAGTTTTGATGTCACATCTGAATTTAATTTAGCTTACTGTTCCACAAGATTTACATATGCTTTATCTAAAGCGCACACAGGGTTGAGTTAATTATGACCAAGAAAGTATTCACCAAATTGTGCTGTGCTTAAATATGTCTAAAATAAACTACTCAGGGTCAGAAAAAACAACAGGGACATGGGAAGACTGTTTTTATAGCTACCTGCTCAGGGTAAAAGCAAGAAAAGCAAACGAGATGGTATTGGAAAGTGAGTTACTCATGACAACTTCCAGATTTTTATTTTCAAAGTGAAGAGGAAGACCAAGTGGAAATAATTTAAAGTTTAGCCCACCAAACAGACAGGAGACAGACCGACCACTCAGAAACAGATCCACCCTGTGACACTGGGCTTGCGAGATAGTCCAGGACGATGGGTGGCAGGTGCCTGTGGTATGTTTTAGCCACCAGAGGTCCCCCTTACCCTACAACCTCTGGGTCAGGCAGTCTGCGGGCGCCTGCAGGATTAGGACCCAGGCTACAGGTCAATGGGGCCTGAGTGAGGTACTGCATCAAGGATGGTTGAGCTGTGGTCAGGGGACTGGGGTCATTTGCGGGTGGGTTCTTACTCGGGAAACTGCCGCCTGTGTTCCCTGCTGGGTAGTCGGTTTTCGTGTGCACCATGCTGACGATGCTCATTGGGGTGATGAGGGGAAGAGTGGAGGATGCACTCAGGGGGACTCCTTCCCCACTGTGCACACCCCGAGGACAACTCGGAATTCTATGGCTGCCTCTCCAGACTCAAGTCCTAGAAATGATTCAGGAGTGATGACCACGTGCTTTCCTAATAGGTGAGGTGTGAAAGATCCATTTATACTACCAGGTCCTATTCTGCCGGGCAAGTAGATCTCGTTTAGAGAAGGGTCCGCCTTGTGTCCAGCAATCTTATTCTCCGTTGTCTTTGCCTGTTGAACTCTAGGCCTCCCCTTCAGCTGCCTGGGGATGCTCCCGGAAACACCGGGGCTTTCCTCTTACCTCAGTTACACCATTGTTGCTCCCTTGGGATTCTGGGTGAGTTGATCTAACCCCAGTTCTCTCAGGGCCCCTTTTGTTAAAAAAAAAAAAAGGATGAGCAGGCTACATACTACACCCAGCACTAGCCTTATACCCAAATCTATAAAAACTACAAACCCCAGTTCCCTACAGCAATCATTTAAAGCAAACTCCAGGCCCCAGTTACTGCAGTTACAAAAACCACGTGGGGCATCGGGGACGACTTAGCATTAATCGGGAGAAGAGGGTAGGTTGTGAAAAGCCAAGGGAAGAAAGACAATCTTGGGTTTCCAATGGCGCTGGCATTTTTGGCTTCCTGTCTGTCCCCACCCACCCCAACCCCGGGGGGCGGATGAGTTAACCTACGGAAGCTACCATCTATCATGAGTTAAGCTCCATTTGGAGGAAGGCATGCATAAGCCCTTTTTCTGTCAAAAAGTAGCAAACAAGGCGCTCCATCTCGTGAATTTAGGAAGTCTACAATCTTGCCTTTGCCACGGGAACCCCCTTCTTTGCTCCTGTGCCCATCTGAAAAGTTTTCGTTTCTTTTTCCTTATAAGACACCGCCTCTGGAACCCCCGGTCCACACTGGGCTCTGTCTAATAATCTTTCGGAGACATAAGCTGTTCCAATACGTAACTCATGGCCTGGCCTGCTCCACATCCAGATCTCCTGCTCCTCAGGTGGAATTCCTCATCCCAACCAGGCTCAAGATTCAGGGTTCAGTTTTTACCTCCCTTAGTGTGGTCTTGTTCTGAAAAAAAAAAAAAAATTAAGCCTGCCTAAACCTACATCAGGAGATTCTTCCCTTATCAGATTTACCGTAGCCTTTGTCTCAGCCTCAACAGACCTGGGAGCTGGCCTCTCCTGTGTGGGTCTTCAACCTACTATATGATGAGGCCCAATCCTTGTATATGTGTGTGCTGAACAGTTTTATGTCAACTTGACGAAAGCTAAAGTCATTTGAGAGGAGGGAACCTTAATTGAGAAAATGCTTCTATGTGATTGGCTGTGGGCAAGCCTGTAGGCATTTAATTGATGATTGATGTGAGAGGACATAGCCCATTGTGGGTGGTACCATCCCAGGGCTGGTGGCCCTGGGTTCTATAAGAAAGGAGGCTTAGCAAGCCATGAAGAGCAAGCCTGTATGTAAATGGCATCCCTCCATGGCCTCTGTTTCAGCGCCTACCTCCAAGGTCCATGCCCTACTTGAGTTCCTGTCCTGACTTCCTCTGATGATGAACTGTTACGTGGAAGCATAAGCTGAATAAACCCTTCCCTCCCTAAGCTGCCTTTGGTCATGGTGTTTCATTACAGCAATAGTAATCCTAAGACACTATGCCTTGTCTGTTTTCCCCTTTTACTCCTTATTTGCATGTAGACACTTTCTACAGGGTGTCTCACTCCTGGCTAGGTCGGTTGGCTTCTGTGCCTTCCCATTAATATGTCTTATCCTTAGCTTTTCTAAGAATGCTCCTTCCAAGTATGTACTGTTGTGGCTACCGCTTCCAGGCACTGTCTAACTTAAGTATCCCTGTTCCTGCTTTTACCATCTGATCCTGACCTTCCTCCTTTCATGCCTGCCTCTGGGTTCTGTAGCCATTTAACACAGCTGGTGCTCATGCTGTCCTGCAGATGTAATTGGCTCTCTGGTAGTGGGGAGCAATTTCAGCTGGTCCCTTTTGCTCTTCTTTGAATGTAGTTGTCCCGGTTTGTTCTGGACAAATTAAGCTGGAGCTGGGCCGGGTCAGAATATCTTACTTGTTCTCTGAGGGAATCTTGGGTTTTCTTTGAGCCATAATCGTCAAGGGAGAATGGAGACTTTTAAATATGTATGTGTGACTTTTTACATTGCTCCGATCAAGTATCTGAAATAAGCAACTTGGGTGAGAAAGGATTTGGTTTGGCTAATGCCTTGAAGGGATACAGTCCGTCATGGTGGGGAGGACACTGTGGTAGAGATCCTGGGTAGATCAGGAAGCAGAGAGATGAATGCTTTCTACTCAGAAGGCTTTCTACTTCCTCCTTGTTTATGAAGTCTGGGACTCCAGCCAGTGGGATGGTACTATCTGTGGTGGTTAGAAAGAAAATGGCCCCCACAGGGAGTGGCACTATCAGGAGGTGTGGCCTTGTTGGAGTAGGTGTGGCTTTGTTGGAGGAAGTGTGTCACTGTGGAGGCAGGCTTTGAGGTCTCATATATGCTCAAGTCCAGTGTGTCAGTTCTCTTCCTATTACCTGTGCAAGATGTAGAATTCTCCAGCACCATGTCTGTCTCTACACCACCACACTCCCAGCCACTGTGCTCCCTGCCATGACAATAATGGACTAAACCTCTGAACCTTAAGTCTTCACCTCAATTAAAGTTTTTGTTTATAAGAGTTGCTGTGGTGGTGGTGTACACCTTTAATATCCCAGCACTTGGGAGGACAGAGCCAGGCAGATCTCTGTGAGTTCGAGGCCAGCCTGGTCTACAGAGTGAGATCCAGCACAGGCACCAAAACTGCACAGAGAAACCCTGTCTTGAAAAAACCAAACCAAAAAAAAAAAGAGTTGCTGTGGTCATGGTGTCTCTTCATAGCAATAGAAATCTTAACTAAGATATCTTCTATATTCAAAGTGGAGCTTCCCCTTCAATTAAATCTCTTTGGAAAAGCCCTGTAGACACATCCAAGTGTGCCTCGTTGATGCTTAGGGGCTTCTTCAGCTACACAAGTTAGCAGTGGAAATTAACATTTGTGGTAAGAATGAAGCCTTGGTGGGATGTTCTTTCTGAAGAGTTGGCTGATAAAGTCTGTGATAGAAAGTGGAACTAGAAAATTCCTATAGAGGACTTACATTATTGGTAGTTGTCAGGG